TTTCCCGGGTCCGATTGGTTTTTGCGGATGAGAAAAGATTAATAAAGCTGGATTTTTGCAAAAACGTGGCAATGCTGTGATTTAATCGCGCTCAGGGGAAATATTCGTCATTGTGAGAATGGAGAGATAACTTTAATTCCGAGACTGCCAATCGTAGCTACGATGTCGTACACCTTTTTTTGCAAGACGAATACGAAGCTGAGGGCGTTGTTGTTGACTCGATCGCTCCGCCTAGATTACGCACAGATTGATTAGCAATCTTTTGAAACTCCGCAAGGGATCTTCGTTGTGTATTTGAGGGAGATTGAGGCTGTGGTCTGATGTTGAAGTTCGAGGTAGGGGCGCAACGCAGGCATCACTATCAGCTGGGTAGCACAAGTTGGCTTGCCCAGCAACACTCTCAAAACAGATTTCAGGCAGTTTATCAACCACCCACACAATACCCTAATATCAGCTCATCATCTTCTCAGATTTGAGTATGTTCAAATCTGGTCATGTTTAAGGAGTAGAGACTAGAAACCTCGGCACTGCCGAGGTATCTACGCTCAAGCATCAGTTTCTTTATCATCTTCATATTCAAATAGTTCAGGGGCATGATTCAATCTACTATATCTCAATTTTGATAAGAGTAGGCTTACAAGATCGGTAATAAGCAAGCATCGATACAAAAAAGTAGAGATAGACAACCTCACGCCACGCTGAACTTGCGCAGTTTAGTGATCTAGAGTTCTCTAGTTACCGTGTGGCGTGACCTGGGCTAGTTCAGTCATATCATCGGAAAGTGACTCGCACAAAACAGTTGCAGCTAGTTCTCGATACATAAAGCTAGCCTAAACAATCATAACAGTGCATTGCATCTCAACTCTCTCCAAGTGGAGCCCACTGACCCTTCTCTACATCTTCTTGAATGCGCTTAGCATCTTCAGGAGAAGCTTCAGAAAAATGATTAATGTCATCCAACCATTTCTCTTCCTGCTTTGTACTAGGCCTACCAAAGGCAGCATTGCGGTAAGGATAGCGACCAAATCGCGCAATGATAGGCCAGTGAGCATCCAGGATCATGCACCACCAGTACGTCCAAGCTGCCATACTTATAGCCCCCTCGTCGTCTTTTGGTGGGCTCTTGACAACTTCTCTTATGAAAAGCAGATCATCTTTTAGTGTCTTATGCCTTGTCTCCCGATGCGGATCCTTTGTTCCCGTGTATCTTTCAACAGCTTGACGTAAGTCGTTTGATAACTCCAATCCAATCTCTTGACTCCCTAGGTCTTCGGCGTGAAGAAAAGGAGCTGCCCACATGACTTGCGTCGAGACCCAGAAGCTGAAGCTAGTGACGCCGACGTCGTCTTTCCATCTCTGCCATGAATGCGGACGTAGATGGTGAGGTAGTGCGTACCACTGTCCAGTAAGACGTCTTGCGAGAGGTCCAAAATATGCAACTTGCCAACGAGCTTCGATTCCAGTGAGGAGGATTCTCGATGCTTGATCAAGAAGTAACTGAAGTCCGAAGCATTGTTGCGGGAAATCTGGGGAAGACGGTTCTGGGAGAAGGGACATAAGGTCGAGTTCCATAGGAGTTGGGAGTATTCCGTTGTGGCTGAGGTGACTGAGTGCTATAAGTGCATCTCGAGCCTTGCTTTCTTGACATACTTTCTTGAAGTTTGCGCTGAAAGCGTCTGACTGGGCAATAGTAAAGTCAAGATCTTCAGTTTTGGAATAAGGAAGATAGGCATCCGCGAGCTTCATCAGCAGATCGGGAGTGATTAGTGATTTCAAAGAGCTGTGGCTTTCCATCCTGAGATGATCTTTCCTGGAGGATGTTTGGTGGTAACCTTGGGTGAGAACATACTGGTTCACCTTTTGATATGAAGCGGGGGCTTACATGTCGTGCTGGAAAAGGAAGGTCGCAATCAAAGTCAGCATTCAACCACATATTCGATGATACAAGAGCTGGCTTTAGATATGGCAAAAATGAAAATGCCACCTATCTGGTAAGGATTAAGACAAAAAAGAGATGCCTCGCTATTGCTCGCAATCGTTTTATAGGAACAGCCCGATGCGGGGGTCGAACCCGCAACCTTGAGATCGCGTACTCGTAAGAGTCTCACGCTCTACCGATTGAGCTAACCGGGCGTGGCTCTGATTGGTTAAGAGATACTGCTCGATTTTGGAACCAAGATCATTACGGCACAGTGTTGCGCCGTAACTTCAAGTGTTGGAGCAGTGTATTTGTATATCTACATAACTGTTATGATTTCACTGATTGGCAGATACTTCTCAGGGTCTCCGTGGGTACATTTTAAAACAGCTATTTCTCAAAGGGGATTATTGCCATCTTTAATAAGATATAGCTTTTAAGATTATTTCAGCACTAAAACAAGAGCAAGAGCCAAAGGCATTACTATATATATATATTAAGTGTCCATTATGTCTAAAGTTCAATTTAAATTTTAAATTAGCAAGTTGAATCTCTGGTCATGCCCATCTGAGCAGCAATTTGATGAGAAATATAGAACTGCCAAAATTAATATTGAATCAACACCACCTACCCTGCAGCATCATGCACCTCAAGTACGGATGGCCACCTCTCATCTCCATGTCTTCTATCCATGTTTCCGCTGGAGCCATTTAAGCCCACCTCACTGCAGGTCAGTCGATATCATTGATTGGTTGAGAAAGCGAATGAGTTCTTAGGTTCTCAGATCAGTTGTGCACGCCTCAAGCCACCTTTTGAAGTGCGGTTCGTTTCCGTTCAGTAGACCCTGACAAAATTGGTTAGCGTCAATCTTGTCGCATTCCCGAGCGAAATTTCCGTAGTGAGCCTCATTTGACATGCTCCGTAACCTTATCTCAAACTGCTGCCCGCGTTAAGCTGGTCATGCATTGTACCTACTGTTGAGAGCAGTTGGTCGCCTTCAACGTTGAATCTAGGCGCCACTGAGAAGATATTTTCATCAACACTTTGACATCCAAGTCAGGGAATCAATGCTAGATATTGGATTCAAAGTGTTCTTGTGCCCCTGGAAAGGGTTCCAAATAGAGAAGAATTATTTACTTCGGTGTATGTGCAGCTTGAGCTTATTCAAGATCTGTGAAATGTGATTCCACACGATCTGGAGCTAAAGGGTTTCCATTGGTGGCAAGCAAGATCAGATTACAGGGGCATGAATAAGGTTTCGATCAGGCATCAGAAAGCGGACGGCGGACGGCGAATCTGACAGGGGAATTTCAACAAGAGCCAGGTACTTGGAGCTCAAGCCTCAATGCTTCAGCACCAGATCATCTAATTGTCCTTGACAATTCTTTATACAAAATGACAATTTACTTACAAAATTGCTGCATTAATGAACATTACAACAGGTTTGTGCAAGATGATTGTGATGTTTCCCATAGCAACGAGTCTTGGCATACAGCATTTAGGCCAACGCGAGCTCATCTTGCCAAGACTGAGACAAAATGCTGACGCTGATCCGGGCCATTCGGATGCGAGGTGTGACCACCAAGAATGTTGAATACGGATGAGACTTAGTCCTGGCCTAGACTCGTGATTGAGTACAAGATGATCTAGATTATGAATCGGAAGAGGAGCATCCAGTCCGCCCTCGATGTTTTTCCCTGGAAAGACGTTGGCCTAGGACAACTCTTCGCGAGCTACCGAGAATCCCAGAGTCACAAACGCGCTCCAATGCAGCAGCAATCAATCTGCAGGCCAGGCATAAGTAGTCTCAACATGAGGACAAAAACATGTCTCAAGAGGTGATTTCACATTGCATCACATCATGGTCATACCCCCCGAATATGGACCCTTGTGTAACACAACCTCACGAAACCCTGATCAGCCATTGGTTATTTCCGGTCACTTATCACAATCTCCAACGCCACGGTCTCGATCCCTATTGAGATCAGCCACAGATCGACTAGACGGACGCGGCCAAATCTCCCCGCGACTAGCCAAACAAAAACGTCCGCCGGCGCGACAGTGGAGCTTTGACTCATCCTTGTGTAACCTCGTCTCAAAAAGTCACATACAAGCCTGGAATGTGCTGATGAATAGAGTTATGCACACTGGGCGGCCGCCAGACTTCAGCTACTTTCCCTTACATTTCGACTTCGTGTGTGAAGCTGAGAGTTGGTGAGTTTGGGGCTTTGGGCTAGCAGTTGACGTTTTAGATAAGCTTCTGTCAAAATCGTAGCTTGGTGGGCTAAGGAGCTGGCTTCCGTAGTGGAGTGTTGTTAGTGTAACGTCATGTGTCCAAGCTGTGTGAGACATCATATCCACCTGCCAGCATCTGGATCAATCTCAAGCCTCGACTTTGGCCGATCGGTCTGGAGGTATTGTTATAATGACTTGACCTGTAAGAGGTAAATGATTATTATACCTGGTTTGATGACCTATGATTATGCCCAGAGCCAACTTGCTATATCCGTCTATTCCATCGCCACTTACATAAGATCTGCACAGCATCTGCATAATCTTCAACGTTGGTGGAAGTCCTGGACGGGACCTTGCATACACGCCCAGGCACACAGGCACAAATCCCACTTCTCAGACTCCTCCAATTCTCACTGGGTGTTGTTTTCACTCCACAAGACAATGGCAGTTGGTCCTGTCTTCAACACCAGCATTCCAACCACAACACCCTGAACCAACAGGATTCTAAACCGGAGTGTCTCTTACACAATGCCTCTGCAGGAACGTGTTTGACAGGATGGAAAACGGCATCGATCCGCTGCGGGTGTGCCAGCCCTGGCATGAAGGCTTCCGCCTCAGCAACCCAAATTCAGCTGACAATGCTCTTTGTATACCCACGAGATTTTCTGCATCATTATTACATCCGAGTGCACAGTCTGAATGCGGATATGGAGGACTGATCAGTAGTTTTAAAATCTTCTGGGAGCTCTCACCCGCGATCTTGTCGCGCGTGTTGCTTCAGTATAGGTAGCTTACCTTGCGCGTATACCTTTCTTATCTCTCATTTACTTTTAATAAACCGCTTACAATGCGGTCTTTGTGTCAGGTGCTCAGGCACCTAATCTTCGCCAGCCTAACGCGTGCCCAGTTTGGGGTTCAGAATGATAGGTCAGTTCTCGGTATTAACAATGAGTTCTCAGGTGTTTGTTACACATATGTTTCGGTCTATCCAGTCCTTGCCGATCCCGATTATATCACCATCACAAAGCCCTACAGAGGCTCAGTAACAACGCAGTACACTGTCCCGCCGCAGGGCGATGAGCCTGGTATTGTTATTGTTGAACAGCCGGGTGGTTCGTCGGCGCCGGAGAATGTAGTCATCCCTGCGACGGATGATAGGTCTTATGTTATTATTATTAGACCACATTCAGGGCCGAATCCGATATCTGCGCCTATTACGCAGGTTGTTCCGCCGAGGAGTGGACAGCCAGGGCAGATTATTATTGAGACGCCAGAGACGCAGGTTGGTGATGCGACGCCAGGTGTGTTGCAGCCTCTTACGCTTGAGCCAAAGGAGTTGACTGGCTATGTGACGGTTCTTCGACCATTGACTGGAACATTGGCGTCGCTGCAACTTATCACGATTTCACCGACCGGGACAAACCGTGGATCGGTCATCATTAATGTCCCAACATCAGCGCTAAATGGGGGAAGCCTACAAGGCCTTACTCTCGAACCCGCACAGGATGGCGATTATGTCACTGTGATTGAACCAGCGGGTTCAGCCTTTAGCGGAACTGTCCCAATTCGATTGACAGTACCACCAAGCAACGGAAATCCTGGTACTGTCATCATCCAAACTCCTGTACCAGGAACTCTGATGCCATTGGCCCTTGAGCCTTTGACCCCTAACACGTTGGGTGCTTTGGGACTCGCTGGTCAAACCATCACTCTTCAACCTGCCGATGCTACCGGCTATGTGACCATCATCGAACCAGCCGAAGGAAGCGTCACACCGACAGCTCCTATCCGAACTACCATCCCACCGACTGGTACCAAGCCCGGGACTGTACTCATACAGACACCACCGGGTTGGAATGATGGGGGAGACGGTGCAGCTTCTAAAGCGACACGAACTCGACCGCAAGGCTCGGTATCATATACAACTATTACCCGTGGTGTACCCATGGGGATGGGTGGTTCTGACGGCGGGTCAAATGGAGGATCAGGGTCTGGTGATGGTTCTGGCGATGTCCAGGGCGTACCAGGTCAAGGCGGCGACGATGAATCAGGGCCGCGACAGACCCTCACCATTCCTCCTGAGGGTGGCAACCCCGGTACCGTCATTGTACTGACACCTGAAAACCCGAATAATCCACAGACTGGTAACAACGGTGGCGGCGATAATGGTGCCCAGGCCACGGGAGGATCTAGCGGTGGAGGTCAAGGTAATTCAGGTAGTGGCTCAGGCTCATCGGGCAGCGGAAATGGCCAGAGTGGAAGTGGAGGGAACTCCAACAACGGAGAATCCGGAGGTGGCTCCAACAGCGGCAGTGGTAGCTCATCTGGACAAGGAGGCAGCTCCAGCAACGGGGATTCCACTGGTGGCGACGATGACCCTTTAAAAGGCGGCGTTCAAGGCTCCGGCTCCGGATCGGGAGACGGCGATGGTGACGGTGCTTCAGGCAGTGGAGGATCTTCAGGCTCAAATAACGGCAATGGGTCTGGAAATGGCGGGTCATCAAACTCCAGTGGAAGCACTGGCTCGGGAGGTACCCAAGGCGGCGCTCAAGGTGGTTCCGACAGTGAGGGTGGCTCCGGAGGCAGTGGTACAAGATCTGCTGGCTCTTCTTCGAGCACCAAGGGCGCTTCTAGTGGTGGTTCTGGGGGTGGAGATGGACCAGGGTCGGGAGATACTGAGTCTGAAGGCGGAGGCTCAGAGGGCGGTTCAGATTCTGGCAATGGAAGCTCTGGTGGGAGTGGATCGACTTCTGGCGGTAAAGGCTCCAGCGGGGATGGAGATAGTGACTCTGGATCAGGAGGAAATAATGCTGGAGGAGCAAATGGTGGTTCGGGTCAGTCATCTTCATCGCGCAGGGGAAGTACTTCTGGCCGCTCAAGCACTCGATCACCAATCGTTAGGACATCGCCTTCGACCTATGTTGTCACATCCAGCAGCACTGTCTTCACCATAACCGCTAATATTGTCGAGACTCTCACTGCCGAACCTCAGAGGACTCGTCGATCAACCAGCAGCGGCCGTCTCACAGGTGGAGTCGAAGGGATAGGCGGAAGTGGAATTGCAGCTACTGATAGAACGACATTCAGACGCCCTTCAAATAGCCGGTCTACGGGATCTGCGGTCGACACAGCTGGCGGAGCTGACTCTGGAGTTGAGTCTGATTCCACACAAACTACACGGGCTCCTGGAAATCCTTCAAGTACCAGACAAGCTGGTGCTTCTTCAAGTTCAGGTTACACCGGTACTGTCGACACGCGTGTTCGTCCTGGAGGTAGTGGTCTGAGCTCTACGCGCAGCAGGACTTCAACTTCAGGACAAGCTTCTCGATCTTCGAATAGGGAGACTACTATTGTCGATAGTGGTCCTGTCATAACAAATGACCCTGGCTCTGATGCAGAGGAAGCTACGTCATCTGTCGGAAACGCCGCCCAGAGCTCATCTACCCGGTCGGCCCAGAGTTCAGGTGCCTCTCAATCATCTAGTGCGCAAAGGCCTGTTGCAGCGAGTTCCTCGTCGGATACTCGTTTCACTGCGAGACCTGCTGTCATATCGACTAGCGCTGGTAATGCTGAGGCTGGAGGGACATCACAGGCTTCGCAGAGAAGTAGCAGGGCTACTAGCTCGGTATCGGGCTTCGTCGAAGGTGAACCTGGATCAACAGCGGGAGTAAACAGCAGTGGTCCTTCTTCGGAAGATGATGAGGCGACATCACGAGCTTCGAGCAGCTCCCAGTCTACTCGGTCTGGTAGTGCTGGATCTTCTTCAGCTTCAGCGAGATCTAGTGCTTCAACTACCTCACGCGAGGGTTCATCTGTATCAGATGCAGCTCGAGGATCCAGCGCGGGTACATCAACAGCATCGCAGGGCGCAGGGCAGAGCTCAAGCACCTCCAGAACAAGCGAGGAGATCAATATTGAGACTATAATTGGTACACAGAGCGTCCCGGAGTCAGAGCGCGTGGAACAGCCTGGCGATACGTCGACTCGTTCAGCGACAAGCAGTGATGCCAGATTCACAGGCCAGCCAGCTGCAGGAGTTGGGGGCTCAACCACTGCTGAGTCAAACTCAGGAACCTCATCTATTGATGTTGATGAGGACGTGACGACATCTAGTGGAGAGTCGCTCGCTGGAGGACCTGCTGCTGGTGCTACGTCTGGAAGTTCGGGCGAGAGCTCTGTGAGCGACGACTCTGATGCTGAGACTTCCTCCGCTTCTAGAGATCCTGGCTCTAGAACGGCATCTGATGATGCTTGGGAGACTAGAGATGCTACTGGTACTGCTCAACCTGAAGATGGCGAGACAAGCTTGATCTCGCCTCAAGTGCCAGGGTCCACTGATCCATTGCCAGAATCTGAATCCAACAGTCGGTCGCTCACTGGCGGAGTAGAAGGTATACCTGACATGAGTGACTCATCGTTTGAGTCGCCAGAGCTGCCACTGCCGACTGCGGTATCAACCGGTCCCCTTCCCGACTCTAATCTTCTGTCTACAGCAACTGATGATGAGTCTTCGGGAGCATCTCCTGGATTTGAAGTTCCCACTGGTTCACAAGCTGCGCCTTCTGATGATGACCTTGACCCTGGCTCAGGAGTTACCGCTACAGATGGGCCTACAGGTAGTGATGCCTCGGAGCCTGATGCTTCTTCCGACTCCTCGAGAGATGAAGAGACTGAGACAAGATCCTCAGATCCGGATGAGACTGGCACTGGGGCTTCTACACAGCCATCACTGAGTGCCTCGCTAAGTGATGGCGATGGTGAAGGCGCCAGAACCACAGATGAAGCAGGCGTCGAGCCATCTGATACAGATGCCAACGTGGAAAGCGAGACATCTGGCCCTGATGCTACTTCTGATGGTTCTCGATCTGAAGCTGGTCCCAGCACTGATGAAGATGGACAGACCATCACCGACGGATCTGGAGGAAACCCCACAGCTGTCATCCCAACAGATAGCAGCCTAACTACTGAAGCTCCTGGCGGCGCAATAGCAACCATCACCGTCTTCAGAGCAGGCCGTGGCCCAGCCCGAACAACCCTCTACGTCCCTCCCCAAGCATCCAACGATCCATGGACTGTCGTCATCGAGACACCAGTTTCAGAGACTCAATCTGAAGCTGCAACTGCTCGTGGAGACGACGATATTCTTGCTACCACATCTGCTATAGGTGGTAACACCAATGTTACGATCTTCAGAGCTGGATCTAGCCCAGCGAGAAGGACTATTTATGTTCCTCCTAGGTTTGCGAATGAGCCTGGTACCATCGTTATTGAGACACCAACTGGGACTGCTATCGCGAGTGCGACTGAGACTGGGATTGATACACCTAGTGTTCGACCCAACATCACGGTCTACAGCTCTGGTACTGCTTCCAGCAGAATTACCATCTACGTGCCTCCTACTGCTTCAGATGGAGATGGGTATATCATCATTGAGACCCCTGCCTCTGAAGTTGAACCCGATGCCACTGAAAGCGCTGAGGATGGCAGTGGTCCTACGGCTGGGACGCCCGCTGGTATCGCCAATGTCACAGTCTACAGTTCCGGTACTGCGTCAGAAAGACGAACCCTCTATATTCCGCCCACTGCCCCTGGCGAGGCTGGTACAATCATCATCGAGACTCCAGTCTCCGAACCTGATCCAGAAGAGAGCAGGGGTACTGACGGCGGCAGCCAGACTACTGGTCTTGAACCTGGTGTCAGACCCAATGTGACTGTCTACAGTTCAGGCACTGCCTCCGGGAGGATTACTCTGTACATCCCGCCTACAGTATCTGGTGAAGCCGGAACCATTGTCATTCAGACACCAATCTCCGACCAAGATTCTGATACTATAACTGGAGGTCCCGGAGATGAGAGTGGGAATACTGCCACTTCTGATGGCAGAACTGCTGTGACTATCTATACCGAAGCAACTGGGTCTACTGGAAACACTAGATACATCTCGCCAACCGTTTCTGGAGAGCTGGGCACTTATATCATTGAGACTGTTGCCTCGGAAGCTGGCGAAGAGACTGCTTCGGATGAATCAGCTCGGGCCACAGGCTCTGAAGCCTCCATCACACCAGTTCCCACCGACGAGGGCTCGCCTGGAAACAACTTAAATGTTACTCTCTACCGAGCTGGAGAAGGTTCAGAGAGGAGCACCATCTTCATCCCACCAGAGACTACTGGTGATCCATGGACGATTGTGATCGAGACACCAATCTCACAGACTGAATTGGTAGAGACAGGAACAGTTCCAGGGTTCCAAACAACAATCTCCGCTATCACCGGAAGTGCCAACCTGACTATCTTCAGAGCAGGTGTTGCGTCTACACGAAACACAATCTACGTAGCGCCCAAGACATCCGGAGGCCCAGGAACTGTCATCATCGAGACACCTGTTCCGAGAACCCAGACTGGTAGCCTTACAGTCAATCCTGAAGCACAACCAACTGTTGGTGCTGGATCAAATACTACGATCTTTGTTCCAGGTACCGGTCCTGGACGAACGACTTACTACGTTCCGCCGGCAGATCCTAATGACCCTGGCACTGTTTATGTTGAGACTCCTGTGTCGGATGAGGAGACCGAGGGGCCCACAGAGGGGCCGTCAGCTACTGGAGATAGTGAAGGTACTGTCGTAGCTGCAACAACAGTCACTATCTTTAGCGGTGGGCCTGGATCCGTCACGCGCACAGTCTATGTCCCACCTACTGCCTCAGGAGAAGCGGGCACGCTCTACATCGAGACGCCGACTGGATCGGCCACTGGTGAAGAGCCTATCTCAGCGACAAGAACCGTCACCGTCTACACTGGTGTCCCGGGCTCAGTTACAAGGACAGTCTATGTGCCTCCTACAGCGATTGGTGAGCCAGGTACTTTATTCATCGAGACACCTGTCGATGGCACCCAGGCTACAGTCACAGAAGATGAGAATGCTATATCTGCCGCAACGACTGTCACCATCTTTAGTGGTGGACCAGGATCCGTTACGAGAAGTGTGTATGTTCCTCCAACTGCTTCAGGAGAGGCAGGCACTATGTACATTGAGACTCCCACAGATGGAGCCGAAGCTACTGCAGGTAGTGACGGGGATGTCATATCTGCCGCGACTACTGTCACCATCTACAGTGGAGGTCCCGCGGCAGTTACAAGAACTACTTACATCCCACCGGCGGCTTCTGGCGAGGCTGGAACTCTTGTGATTGTTACTCCTACAGCCGGGTCAGATGCCAAAACAGCTAGTGATGGCGATGATGGTTCTGAGACTGGGTCTATCACTGGTGCGGGGGAAATTACAGCCGGAACAACTGTCACTATCTTCAGTGGCGGTTCAGGCTCTGAAACACGAACTATCTACATCCCTCCCACCGTCTCGGGTGAAGCTGGTACACTCATCGTGGAGACACCCACGTCTGGTCCAGGCGGTGATGACTCCAGTATTACAGGTACAGGACTCAGTGGCCCAACTGCAATTGTCACCCCTGAAGGCCCAGGCAACGTTACTATCTATAGCGGCGGACCTGCTTCCTCAACAACCACTCGTTTCATCCCTCCTACTGCATCCGGGGAGCCTGGTACTATAGTCATTGAGACACCAACAGCTGGACCTCAAGCTACAGGCATTGGAAATGTTACTATCATCACAGGTGGTCCTGCTACAGTCACCCAGACTCGGTATATCCCTGCTACGGTGACTGATGAGCCCGGGACTATCGTCATCGAAACACCGACTTCTCAGGTTGATGAGGACGGAGGTGCAGGAAACACTACTATCTATAGTGCTGTGTCTGCTACTGGTACTCGCACTATCTACATTCCACCCACGGTATCTGGCGAGCCTGGAACCGTTATCATCGAGACTCCTGCTGTGAGAGCAGTGACTGTTTACACAGATGGTCCTGCATCAACTACTCGAACGCTCACTATTCCCGGTACAGCCTCAGGCGATCCTGATACAATTCTCATCGAGATTCCCACTTCAGGTCCAGACTCTGGCCCTGCTAATGTCACCGTTTACACCGGAGTCTCTGCCACTGTCGCTACTACTCGTTTCATTCCTGGTACAGCTTCAGATGAACCTGGAACGTTCATTGTTGAAACACCACTTGGCAGTCCAACTTATGTGACAGTCTACAGTGGTGGACCAGGTACAGCTGTTACAACGATCTACTTGACACCAAGTGAATCTGGTGATTTTACCACTATGATCATTCAGACTCCAACCCAAGGGTCCGAGGAGTCTGCTACAGGTGATAGTGAAGTTCGCGAGACTGGAACCATTACAGAAGCTTCAGGCACATCAGCGACTCGTCGTGGGAACGTCACCATTTACACCCAAGCGCCTGGAACAGCTGGCGGAACATTCTACTTCCCACCTGATGACCCAGAAGAGTCGGGTACTATCATCATTGAGACTTTGCCTGGCGACACTGAAGAAACTGGTGCTGAATCTACTGAAGGTCCAGTCGCCCCAACTGCTGGTGGCCGGGTCAATACTACGATCTTCAGTGGCGGTCCAGTAACTGCACCTAGAACATTATACATATCGGCGACAATTTCTGGGGAGCCAGACACCGTGCTTATAGAGACACCAACCACAAGCCCAGAAACAGAGGCTTCAGAGTCAGCGACAGGCCAGCGATACACAACCATCTTTGGTGGAGGGTCTGGAACGGCCACGAGGACTATCACCATTCCTGCTACTGTATCTGGTGAGCTGGATACTATTCTGATCGAAACACCCACTGGTGGAGTTCCCGAAGTCACAATCACTAGAGGCGGACCCGTCTCAGTCGCTACCACTATTACTATTCCCGGTGCGCCTGACGAACCTGACACTGTTCTCGTTGAAACTCCAACTGAATCCGACGATGCTGAGCCATCAGAGAGTGCTAATAGCCCTGGCGAAGTGACTTCCACTCGCGGCGGACCAGTTACAGCTGCCACGACGATCACAATACCTGGTCAATCAGGCCAGCCAGACACTGTGATTATTGAAACGCCGACTCGTGCGGCTGATGTCACGATCACCAGAGGAGGGCCAGTTTCAGTCGCCACGACTGTGACAATCCCTGGAGCACCTGGTGAACCTGATACAGTGCTTGTGGAAATACCAATTGAGTCTGCAGACATATCTGTGACTGGAAGGGGTGCGGGCGAAATAACTTCTACTCGGGGCGGACCAGTCACGGCCACAACTACGATCACCATCCCGGGTATATCAGGGCAGCCAGATACTGTTATCGTTGAAACACCCACAACATCCTCTGATGGTGAGGAATCTACAGCTACTGCAGACGGTCCAGTTCAAGTAACATCTACCCGAGGAGGAGCAGTAACAGCTGCAACTACTCTCACTATTCCCGGCGAGTCAGGCCAGCCAGACACCGTTATTGTTGAAACGCCTACAAGATCTTCAGGTGGTGAAACAATAGGCACTGCAGGCAGCCCAGGAGAGGTGACTTCAACAAGAGGAGGACCTGTAACTGCGGCGACTACCATCACCATCCCTGGAGGACAGGGTGAGCCGGACACTGTCATCGTCGAGACCCCAACGAGGTCAAATGAGCCTGCTGTAACTGGCGGTGTTCAAGCAATCACTTCGACAAGAGGTGGACCTGTGACAGCAGCAACTACTATAACCATTCCTGGCGAGTCGGGCCAGCCTGACACGGTTATCGTTGAGACACCTCAATCTTCTGATGAAGATGGACCATCTGCAACTGAAGATATTCAAGATGAAGTTACCATCACTCGAGGCGCCCCTGTGACTGCTGCCACTACCGTTACTATTCCTGGAGTATCTGGTGGTCCGGATACAGTTTTCATTGAGACACCAACAACGTCGAATGAACCTTCAGTTACTGGCGGAGTACAAGCGATTACTTCTACTCGAGGTGGATCTGTGACAGCTGCGACAGCTATTACAATCCCCGGGGAATCAGGTCAACCAGATACCGTTATTATTGAAACACCTCTATCTTCTGGCGAGATTGTGCCGTCTGCAACTGAGGGTCAAGATCCGGTCACTATCACTCGCGGTGGACCTGTAACTGCTGCCACGACAGTGACTATTCCTGGAGTGTCTGGTGGTCCAGACACTGTGTTTGTTGAAACACCCACTCAATCTTCTGAAGAGCCTAGAGTAACTGCTGTTCAGCAAGTCACAATTACTCAGGGCGGTCCAGTAACAGCTCCCATTACAGTTACCGTCCCTGGAGTATCCGGCGGTCCTGATACTGTTTACATCGAGGTACCTACAGAGTCTGTTAGAACTGGAACTGTCCAAGAGGTTACAATTACGCGGGGTGGCCCTGTAACAGCTGCCACAACGGTCACTATTCCTGGCGGAGCGGGAGAGCCAGATACTGTTTATATCGAAACGCCTACCGAGCCTGCTGGCGGGGGTAGTGAAATTCCAGTAACCGGAGCCGTTCAGGAAGTTACTATTACGAGGGGCGGCCCAGTCACAGCGGCAACCACAATCACAATATCTGGTGTTTCTGGAGAACCAAACACGGTCTATATTGAGACACCAACGGAATCCGTAGCTAGAGGTACAGAACCGCCAGTGACTGGAGCTGTTCAAGAAGTTACTATCACGCGTGGAGGTCCCGTCACAGCAGCAACAACTATTACTATTCCCGGAGCTTCTGGCGAGCCAGATACTGTTCTTGTTGAAGTTCCGATTGAGTCTGCTGAACGATCCTCGGAAACTGGCTCTTTACGTGAGGTCACTATTACAAGAGGTGGTCCTGGGACAGCTGAAATAACTCTCACAATCCCCGGCGAATCTGGTGGACCTGACACTGTACTGATTGAGACTCCAACTGGCTCTTCTGGCGGTGATGGTGAGCCTTCTACAACTAGTTCTGTTCGAGAAGTTACTATCACACGTGGAGGACCAGTTACAGCTGCGACAACACTTACGATTCTTGGTGAGTCCGGAGGGCCAGATACTGTATTGGTCGAGGTCCCGACGAGTTCATCTAATGAAGCCGGTTCTACCCAAAGGGAAGTCACAATTACTCGTGGTGGCTCTGTTACAGCTGCTACAACTCTCACTATACCCGGAGCTTCGGGCCAGCCAGATACTGTTGTCATCGAAACCCCAACTGAGTCTAGCAGTGAGGCATCAGAAACAGATGCTAGACAAGGAGAAGTTACAATTACCCGAGGTAGCCCTGTCACAGCTGCAACCACAATCACCTTGACCGGTGTATCAGGCGGACCAGATACCGTTATCGTCGAAACTCCGACCGAGTCTTCAACTGAGCCCTCGCAAACTAATAACCGTCAAGAGGTCACCATTACCCAAGGTGGCCCTGTCACAGCCGCGACAACGATCACTGTTCCAGGCTTATCAGGAGAACCAGACACTGTCATCATCGAGACGCCTACTGGTGCTTTTGAGACTCCAAACAATGCACTCGCCAACGTCACTGTCTACAGTGGCGTTCCTGTCTCGGTTACCCGTACCATTTATTTCCCACCCGCGGCATCTAGCGAGGCTGGCACTATTGTTATCGAAACACCAGATGGTTCTAGTCCCACGGAAACTGCCCGTGGACCTGGAAATGTCACTATATACACTGGTGTCGCTGGCACAGCTACAAGAACCGTCTTCATACCTGCTACAGCTTCAGGAGAGCCAGACACAGTACTCATTGAAACGCCAACAGGTTCTTCTGGTGGTGAGAGGACGACAGGAAGTGTCGTCGCAACAGCGACAGGACCTCTCGCTACCTCTGAGGGCAGGCTCAATACTACAATCTTCAGTGGTGGATCTGGTTCTTCAACTAGGACGGTCTACTACCCACCAGCTTCTGATGGCCCCGATGGCCCTGGAACCGTTGTTATCGAGACACCAACCTCTGGTTCTGGAGAGGAAGATCTTGAGGAAACAAGAAGTGCCATTTCTACCGGAGGCCCGGCTAATATCACACGTATTGTTGGAGGTCCTGCTTCGGTCACCACCACTATCTACATCCCACCAACTGCTTCTGGTGAGCCGGGTGTTGTGATCATTGAGACGCCAACATCAGGCCCCGAGGGTGAGACAACGACTAGTGATAGTGCGGAAATCACAGCTTTCCCAGTGGGCAGACAAAACGTCACTCTGTACAGCGGTGGTCCAGGTTCGGTTGTAACGACAATCTACTACCCGCCTGCGTCAAGCGATCCTGACGAGCCTGGTACGGTGGTGATTCAGACCCCAACAGCTGGCCCTGAAGAAGAGATATCATCGACTTCTGCAAGTGAAGCTGTTGCACCAATCCAGAACATTACTCGCATCGTGGGAGGTCCCGCATCTGTCACAACAACAATCTACATCCCTCCTACAGCATCGGGTGAGCCTGGAGTTGTCATTATTGAGACGCCTATAGCCAGTCCTGGAGAGAAAGAAACATCACCAGCGTCTATCACCGCAACCTCCAGCGACGAGGCAGCAACTGGTATTCCCTATATCACTCGCTACGTCGGGGGTCCAGCTTCCATCACGACAACATATACAATACCCCCTGTCTCGTCTGGAGACCCAGGAACAGTGGTCATCCTAACCCCTTCTGCCAGCCCTAGCGAGAGCGAGGCTTTCGCTTCAGAAACTGAGATTCCAAACGTCACTAGATACATCGGTGGCCCAGCTTCAGTCACTACGACCTACACCATTCCTCCAGCCTCGCCTGGAGAGCCAGGTACTGTTGTTATTCAAACCCCAACCGCCAGTCCTGAAGAAAGTGCTACGTCTTCCCCTTCAGCTGAAGCGCCAACCGAAATCCCAAATGTCACTCGGTATGTTGGCGGGCCAGCGTCAGTTACTACAACCTATACCCTCCCTCCGGCTTCTTCTGGAGAGCCGGGTACGGTGGTCATTCAGACTCCCTCAGCTAGCCCCGCTGCGGAAACTACTTCTAACGAGCCTGTCACAAGTGTTGAGTCTCCAAGCGCAATTCAGAACGTCACTCGCTTCGTCGGAGGTCCAGCATCAGTTACTACAACAATCTACATTCCCCCTGCTGCATCTGGTGAACCCGGCACTGTACTCATCCAAACTCCAAGCTCTGCTCCAGAGGAGACTTCATCCTCATCAGCCGCAAGCACAGCACGACCACCATTAGTTGCACAGAACACAACCATCTTCGGCGGCGGAGCAGGCTCAACCACAAGAACCATCTATATCCCCCCTGCCTCAGAAGGCGAGCCAGGAACAGTCCTCATCGAGACCCCGACTGCTAGCCCTTCAGCTTCAACCACTCCCATCACTAGCGCACCAGCAGGCATTCCAACAACTTCCACTCCAGTCGTCGCTGGTACCAATGTCACTATCTTCAGAGCTGCTCCTCCCACGGCTACAGCTGAACGAACGCTGTATGATCCACCAACTGCGGCTGGGGAGCCTGGTACTGTTATTATCGAGACAATGGTTGTGTCTTCGACTTCTGGCTCGGCTGCGCCGTTGAGTATGGAAGGTCCTGCTGTCACGACTTTGAGTGGTAGTTCAACAAGTTCTTCTGCTATCGCTTCACCCTCATCTACGTCAAGTAGCGCGGCGGCAGCAGCGAGCTCATCGAGCAGTGCTGCTGCAGCAGCGGCGGCTTCGAGTTCATCCTCTGTTGCAGCAGCTGCCGGTTCCTCGAGTAGCGCAGCAGCCGCCGCGGCAACTTCATCAAGCAGTGCTGCAGCTGCAGTTGCCTCAAGCTCGTCCAGTGCTGCTGTCGCCGCTGCATCATCAACGTCAAGTGCAGCTCCAGCACCAGTCACCACAAGCTCAACCAGTGCTGCACCCCCAGTAATCACCACCTCCAGCAGCGCAGCTGTCCCTGTAGTCGCCACCTCTTCCAGCAGTACCTCCAGCACGAGCATGATGCCCCAGCTCGCATTTGGCCCAACATTCGACTGCGATGGCTTCGGCTACACCGTCCAAAGTCTTCTCGCCAACACTCTCACACGCGTCAATCTCGTCACCGGTCAACGAACAGATATCAGAACAGGCATTGGTCCTGGCGGTCCTATCAACGGTATCGGCTTCAACAGGCTCGACAACTACATCTATGGGTTTTACCAACAACCTTTGGTCAACGCCGTTCTTTGTGGCCTGTTAGGATGCAAGCGATCAGGACTTATTCGCATAGCTAAGGATGGTCGATGGGAGATCCTTGATCTTGTGATCGGTACCAATGCTATCAGTATGGGTGATGTTGATGACCAAGGAAGGTTCTGGGTATCCGAAGGCGGGGGCAGATGGTGGTGCATTGATTTGAGACCGACTAGTAGCACTTTCGGCCAGCTTCTGAGCTCTGGCACGTCAGCTACAAATCTCCTCTCTGGAGTGGGAGATTGGGCGTATGTCCCCGGCGGAGGCAACTATCTCTACGCCACACAAGCATCAGTCATCGAGAGTGGCCTCCTCAGAACAAACATCGTTCGATGGTCGTTGACCACGCAAAAGTGGGAGCGCTTCCAAACCTACCCCAACCTCGTCCTCACAACTCTCAACCTCGTCTGGGGTGCCGTCATGGCAGCACCGGATGGAACACTCTTCGCCCAGGAGACAGTATTGGGTCAAACGTGGAAATTCACACTTGGGTCCGCGGCAAATCCTACACCTATACCAGGTGGTGCTATTCTGAACTTGCTAGGATCGGATGGAGCCAGGTGCGCGGGTACTTTAGTTTCATGATTCGAAAGATGACGGAAGCGGCAAGATTGTAACAACGCCGCGGGTTGGACGCATGTACTGTTATTTTTTCCTTTGTGCTAGTCAAGCGGACTGCTTCTTTTTCTATGTACTAGTTAGCGATCACTACATGATCAACTATTTCCTTTCTCCGACTCATGTCGCTTTTGCTGGTGCAGATGCAAGTGAAGTAGAGCAAACGCAGCCCTGTCCTCCGATGCTAGTCACAGGAGGGGCATTGCAAGTAGCTTCGGTAGTCCATGAAGCGTACGTAGACGTAGGCTCCTCAGAAACAACATCAGCTCTAACAAGAACAGGAATGATCTGACCGGTCGCCAGACGGAAAGGTCGATGGTTAAGAGCCTGGAGAAGCTTGGTGATTTCACCAGAGTGGCTGCTAATGCTGATCCAAACAGCATTGTCACTTGTGAAGATATCATCGAGAACTTCCTTGCTTCGCGCCAATTGGTGTTCACCAGTCTCACCCTCCTTTCCAGTCCAAAGCTTATCCTTATCAGAGAAACCCTTCTCAAACTTGATCTTCTTGGCGAGAGTCTTGATGAAGCTCTTGCTGCGACGGTGGTCGCATGTCCGGATGCTAATACCCTCACGGAGAAGTTCCTTCACCATCGGGATGAAAGGTTTATCCTTGGGGAGCTTGAGGCTCTGGAAAGTCTCCACGGCGGTCTCGACACAGCGGGCGAGAGGAGAGGTGTAGTATGAGTCGAAGTATGGCATGCCTTCGTTCTCAAAGCGAGTCTTGAAGTAGGCGTTTGCCTTGTGAGCTTCAGCCTCGCCTGCGGGTGTGAGGAGAGGATCCTCCCACGTCGCTGTTCCGTTGCCGGACTGAAGACCCCAGTAGCACTGCAAATGTCAGCTCATGAATTGAGAGTCTTGAGTGAGGCGACTTACGTTCCAGGCGGGAGTGCCGTAAAAGGACTCAGCGGCGTTGTGCCAGCCCTCACCATGACGTCCCATGACAAGAACCTTGTAGCGCGTCTTGTCGCGACTGGCATTGCGGTTCAGGTGCTTGACGTACTGCTCGAAGCGCTCCCACTGAGTCTTGTAGCCCTTTCGGGGGTTCTTGGGATCAGTGGGATACGTGCGGTTCAAGAGACCAAAGTTCCATTGAGCCTAGACTAATCAGCATCTATTGATCCGGTGAGACAAGTGAGGTCTTACATAGTCGAAGCCAGTGGGGTTCGTGGCCAGATCATCTTGCAAGAAGAACCCTTCAACAGAAGTATACTTGATCTCCTTATTCTTGGCAAAATGCCAATCCGCAAGAGCAGACGGCGCAAGGGCCAAAAGCGCAGAGACGGTAGTGAACTTCATGATGCTCTGCCAATGCCCAAGTCATTGATGAATTGGCCCGGGCAAACGACCATCTTTATACCTCACGACATCGGACACTTGACCGATTTGACATGTTCGTGCCAGGGTATCATCGCGCGATTACCCCAAGCTCAAAAGCTGTTAAAGATGCATCTATTCCCGTCCCGGGAGTCTTGGCCCGAGCAGGTCCACGATTAAGGCAAAGATCGGAGCCAATGGATCGGGAACGTGCCGAGCAAAGTGGAGTCTTTTGACGTGACAAGATGAAATGAGATCCGGGTTCTCGGTCACAGAATGAGATAGTATTAAAGACTAGATGAAGGAAATGGAGTAATTGACATGAACTGGAAGAGTCAGTGATGAGAAGATGGTGTTTTTGTCAAAAACGTGGTGTTGCTAGCGTGGCTGATGTTTGCATGTGACAGGGGTACTTCAAGACCCTTAAAAGGACAAACAACCCTCTCGTATTCAATCCTTCACTCATTCCATTATTACTCTTGCTTGCGTATGCATTTCACGGTAATAACATGGGCTAGAGCAAGCACATTTAATTTATTCGTATTTATAGACGGTTACCTAAGCTCTATTGACCGTCGTTAAATTGGCAGCATGTAAACGGACCAATCAAATCGCTCATAAAATTGTTAGGCCCAACCAAAGGCTCACCCATTAACTTCCAACAGCTCAAGTTACGTAGAAACGTCACCTCACTGAGAGCTCCTTAATCTTAAAAAAAGCATTCATCATCACCGCTTCTTCTTTTTGGTCTTTTACTTTCTTAAACTTGGACTTGCCAACCTCACTCACTCACATCGCTATTGCTGTATCTTTGTCGCATCTTTTCTCGCCACCATGACTTCGACTGACCCCACTAACCCCTCGATTGACGATGAACTTCATCTTGAGGGTGAGCCTGCTCCTGAGCTCCTCGAGGGGCGAATCTGGGTCGATGGCTGCTTTGACTTCTTCCACCACGGTATTTACTCTCTATGTTTCATCGCGATCAATTACTAACGATTCCAGGCCACGCTGGCGCTATTGTGCAGGCCCGTCAATTAGGCGATGAGCTCTACGCTGGCGTTCACTCAGACGAGGCCATCCTCGCCAACAAGGGCCCTACAGTCATGAACCTCGCAGAACGGTAACACTGACTCATTCACACGTGTCACGCGACACATTTACTGACATTTGCAGACTCGCTGCTACTGACGCTTGTCGCTGGGTCACCCGTTCAGTCGGCCACGCGCCCTACGTGACTTCTCTCCCCTACATCTCCCACTACGGCTGCAAATATGTCGTGCACGGCGACGACATCACCTCGGACAGCGATGGTAACGACTGCTACCGATTCGTCAAGGAGGCCGGTCGATTCAAGGTGGTTAAGCGCTCACCTGGAATCTCTACCACCGACCTCGTCGGGCGCATGCTTCTCTGCACAAAGACGCACTTCATCAAGTCCCTCGAGAAGAAACTTGCCGGTGAAGAGGGCCACGGCACACCGGAGGAGCGCATCGCTGAGGGCCAGCAGATGCTGGAGCGCATGAAGCTGTATGCGACAGACGCTTCGGGCAAAGCACCCGGCGCCGAGGTGTTCTTCTGGAAGGCGTCGCAGGTCGCCAAGGCGGAGGAGGGTGAGGAGGAAAGGGGCAGTTTCCGACAGCTTATTGAGGGACCCGGACCTAAGCCCGGCCAGCGCGTTGTGTACGTTGATGGAGGTTATGATCTCTTTTCCAGCGGACACATCGAATTCCTGCGCCAAGTCCTCCTTGAAGAAGAAAAGCTCGCTCGTGAGCAGGATTGGTATTCCGAACAAAACGTCAATGAGCGTCTCGGCAAGGGTGAGGATTATCCCCCCGCGTACGTCGTAGTAGGCGTGCACGAGGACGAGGTCATCAATCAATGGAAGGGAATCAACTACCCCATCATGAACACCTTCGAGCGCGGTCTCTGCGTACTACAGTGCAAGGTAACAAAACAGCCCTCACCCCCAATACTACCCCAGCCCTGAAAACCACTAACCACTTTAAACCGCAGTACATCAACGCCGTCATCTTCGGCGCACCCTTCTCTCCCACAAAGCCCTACCTCGACACCCTACCGCGCGGCACCCCAGACGCCGTGTACCACGGCCCAACCTCCTTCATGCCCCTGACATACGATCCGTACACGGCACCCAAGGCGATGGGGATCTACCGCGAGATCGGCGCGCACACGTTTGCGCACGTCAACGCGGGCGAGATCGTGCAGCGCATCATGAAGTCGAGGGACATGTACGAGGCGCGCCAGCGGGCAAAGGGCGAGAAGGCGAGTGTTGAGGCGGCGGCGCGCGAGAGGGAGATTCTGGAGGAGGAGCAGCGAAAGAAGGAGGCTGAAAGGGCGTAGGGCGTGGTTTGATGGTGTGAAAGAAAAAGAAAAACAGGTCCGGTAATGTGTGGTAGAACAAACAAGGTCCTTTCAACAGGGAATCCTAAGAGACGGGTGGGATAAAAAAGTATAGTATAGAGTAATCATGATACCTACCTTGAAGATGACGAGTTTCTGCAAGTCTACTGCGATGATACCCTTGTTATCGTACTAACATCTCGATACAATGACACCAAAGTCTCCACGCCACGAAACATAGGACCGATCATCGATAAGAAACACAAGAAACACACAATGTGACCTCAACGAAATTCATCATTATCCCTTCCAATTGGGGGGGGAAACATAACATGACCTCACAGCACCGAGGGGCGGTAACAATGGCAATTGACGGTTAGCCACGGTGCCATGCACAATTCCGCCCTGCCAAGAAAACTTGCATCAAGGTTTTTTTGTCTTTGGTCTGTCAGAATTGACAAGCAGGGATTTCACGGCACATGACTATCTACTGCATAAACCTCTGATACGATGAGGATATGTGACACTGGTTCAATTGGATGGTGGTTGCTGTTATCTTTGTTGATAGCCAATTTGTTTAAGCCGCGCCCTGGCAGTGGAGTCCTCGATTTGACTTGACAGCAGTTCCGTTCCGCACTGACAAGAGCCGATGGGACCGGATATTTCTTGGTGGAAATATGCAGTTCGTGTAAGCGATCTCGATAAGCACGTCAAGTTCCAGGGTCATGTGCTCTGTACCTATTCCCAACAGAAATTGCGGCTTCACCACTTTATCAAGAATGCCAATTCAAAGTCAATTCCCCAATTCTTCGTCAATGGCGTAACTCATCAGTGGAATACACGCCAACTACAACCTTCGTTATCTTCCAGAAGCCCATCATCAGTGGAACCCTTCTTCCAAACTGACGGCTCCCCCTCCACCACCACGTCAAAGGCTGTGTGGAGCACACCTCACCACCTACCAAATCCAGCTTAGCGCTAGTATCTATCGATATCGCAAGCATGGCAGAAAAAAAACCAACAGAAAAAAAAACACCATCGCCGGAGCCGAGCCACCGCGCGGGCAGAGGCGGTCTATCCGGGCCCGCGAGCGGCGGGAAGTTTTTCTGCCCCAGCTCGTGACTATCCCGAACGACACAAAGGTGGAGACCGGATAGCGGAGGGGGGGGAACAGTCATACACGGACGGGGTAGATAGGTAGTTTGGCGTTTCCGTGCTTGCGTATATAAAGTTTTATCTCTGCTCTTTTGTCTTTGTTTGCTTTCCTCTGTATACTTCACGACTCCGATCTCGCTCTCTTCCTCCTAGCATTGACTCAAAAGAAGACCTTCGCTCAGAAACAGCATTCACTCTAACTTCAATCTTCAACTTGATACATTCGCAATCATGGCTCCCTCCGCCGTCGAAACCCAGGACGTCAACCTCACAGCCGCAGCAATCCACAAGAAAGATCTCGCCCAGCCCACCGTCAACGGCACCCCCCAGGTTCAGGCTCCCCTCGACGCTTCAAAGCTCACATACACATACACACAATCCCCCCGCTCCGTCCCCGATGAAGCAACCGCTCACTCCGGCGACGAGACCATCGCCACGGACCACATGGTCCTCGCTTCATGGAAGGTCTCTACCGGCTGGTCTGCCCCGGAGCTCAAGCCCTACGGACCCCTGAGCCTTATGCCCACTGCCTCTGTGCTGCACTACGCTACCGAGTGCTTCGAGGGTCTCAAGGTCTTCCGTGGCTATGATGGCAAGCTCCGTGTTTTCCGCCCTGATCGCAACGCTGCGCGCCTTCGCATGTCGGCGAGTCGTATCTCGCTTCCTGTCTTTGAGCCCGCAGAGGTAGAGAAGCTCATCATCGCTCTTCTGTCTGTCGACGGCACAAAGTGGCTTCCCGCCGATCGCGCTGGAAGCTTCTTGTACATCCGCCCAACCATCATCGGTACTGCTCCTCAGCTTGGTGTCTCTGCCCCCAAGGAAGCCCTCCTCTACATTATCGTGACATACATGCCCCGCATGGACGCTCCCCCTGGTGGAATGCGTCTTCACACATCCCCCGACGACATGGTGCGCGCATGGGTCGGTGGCTTTGGGTACGCCAAGGTTGGCGCCAATTACGGCCCTTCTCTGCTCGCTACGGCTGATGCACGAACCCGTGGATTCCACCAGATTCTCTGGCTGTACGGTGCGCAGGCCGAGTGTACTGAGGCTGGAGCCAGTAACTTCTTTGTTGTCTGGAAGCGAAAGGATGGCAAGAAGGAGATCATCACTGCTCCTCTTGATGATAAGCTTATCCTTGATGGTGTTACCCGCCGAAGCTGTCTTGAGCTGGCTCGCCAGCGTCTGGGAGATGAGTATGAGATTACCGAGCGAAAGTACACCATCGCTGAGGTCATTGAGGCCGATGCCGAGGGTCGTCTGATTGAGTCTTTCGCCGCTGGTACTGCTGTAAGTTTAACAATTTATTCCATGTCGAGAACCCTGCTAACGACATCAGTACTTCATCTGTCCCGTTTCCCAGATCCACCACCGTGGACAAGACATCAACATCCCCATGGGCGCTGAGGGAGCGGCCGGCGAGGTCACTGGCAAGATCAAGGGCTGGCTGGGCGACATCATGTACGGTCGCACAGAGCACCCCTGGGGCGTTGTCATCCCCGAGAAGAAGCAGTAAACTGCCGATTCAAAAGTGCATTTCGGAGAGGTGCATCAAAAGTTGCTTCATGGTACGGCGTTAGCGGTGTTTGTTGATACACAAAAGAGACCAGGTTGGTCATGGGCGCATGCATTGACAAAGATGGAAATGACAGGTGCAGATAGTTAATGAGATACGAAATAGACGACCAGTTGAAAGTCAGCTCTGCTACTGTACATGACGAATCGGACATGAGACTGCTGACGCCAAAATAACCCACACATTGCTTCTAGTACATCACATCGATCATTCGTCGAAGAGATCCTGCATCATCTTCAAAGTCTCATTCTGGATCTCAGCCTTGAACTCCTGCACATGTACGTCAGTATTAATTCATTGGTTGCGGAACACCAACGTACCTTGTCAACCTCGTCCAAGAGTCGACACTTTTCCTCCACGATGGCCTCTGCCTGTTTCTTGAGGTCCTCAGCAACCTTTAAAAGCTCCGCATCGACACCATTCTGGCCACCTTGCTCGGCGAGCTCTTTGTTCAGTTGCTTCCAAGCCTGTTCCTCGGTCGCACAGCACTCATCCTATTCGACACTGAGGCGAAGAACCTCTTCTCTCGCGGCAGCGATTTCTTCTTGGAGCTTCTTCAAATGAACGGCGACAGTTGCTCGAGGGTGGTCTTCATGGTCATTGTGATGGCAAAGTGTGGCCGATAGCGGGTAGGCGATGTTGGCGTACAGCTTTTTGGACTGCGACAAGGTCTCGCCGGATTTCTCTGCGAAGCTGGCTGTCTTGGCCTGCACATCCGTGTGCGCCTTTACGAGGTGCTCAATTGCAGAGCTGTGAAGGGACATTCCCATGCGAGCATACGATTCTGTGTATCGTCAGAAATGAACCCAGCGCCTTGCATCGTGAACTAACCTCGTAGCTGCGAAGCCTGATCATTGCGATCCGGTGTAGGAACAACCTTGCTTTCGGGCTTTGAAGTTTCCAAGGATTTACCAAGGCAATCGTGAACCTGCTGGTAGATATTCTGGTAGGGAATTGGCCCGATGGAGGAACTCGTTGCTGGAGTATCGTCGTCACGCAGGCGATCTCGCAGGGTCGAGGGGCAGCCATCTTCCTCTAGACTCGAGGTGGAGTTCAGGAAATAACGAGATGCGGATGCCATGATTGTTCGGAAATAAGTGCGCTTCTAAGAAAGACAGATTATTTGTACGGGAGATGAGAGAGGAGACAGTGCGTGATGTTGGTTGCAATTCGATCCAGCAGTAGCCAGTGTCGATGTAAAGAAGGAAGGAACCTTCTACGCCTGCCTGCACTGCACCTTCAATATTCACCAACCACGGGCATGCACATTCATTCCAAATCCAACATCAATCTTTCTGTTTTTATTGAGATCATATCGAGTGTTAATATCAGAGCTTGTGCCCCCAAAATGCCGCTTCCTTTGTGGTATCAATTCCATCATCAAACTACCCTACGGCTCTGTCATGCATTTTGTACCCATTCCTCAGGCGCCATATCGCGATCAACAAACTCCCCCCAGTGTCGCTGAAGATAACTCAATCCGGCCATTTTTCTTTTCGTCCTCGTATCTTTCCTTAGGCATTGATCTTCTCGTCAATCACCTCGACGATACTCTCCCAAGTAACCATTGCACCATTTCCAACATCACCACAAGCCAAATTCTTCGATATCGGCCTCAACACCTCAAACCAACCATTCTCTCCACCCCATTCCTCTTCCAAAACTCGCAGCTGTCTTGCAGTGATGGGATGATTCCACATACAAGTGTTCATCGCAGGCGCGACGAGGATCTTCTTCTTGACCCCATCTACAGCCCCCGTAACGTCCCATGCTCGAACCACAGACGTCAAGAGGTTATCGCACAAGCCGTTGACAATCTTCGCCATCGTGTTCGCACTCAGCGGTGAAATGACCAGAACATCCGCCCAGCGTCGAAGCTCAATGTGTAAAATCGGCGCATTGCGCTTCCAAGGTTGAGCCCACTCATGCGCATCTGTGTAAACAGCGTCGACATTCGGAAGACGAGAGACCTGATCAACGGTTGGCTGCTCAAGACTTTGTCCCGAGAGAAATTCCGACGCTGATTGAGTGAGGATGAGACGGATGGAGATGTTGGGTTGTGATTTGAGACCATTTATAATCTGGACGAGCTTAATTGTCGCGACGGAACCAGAGGCAGCGAGGAGAATATGGCGCTTGCCATCGCCTCGCGCCTGTTCGAGAGCTTCAGTTGAGTTGCGCATGTGGTGGTCGTGATGGGCGTCGTGCCCGTGTTGAATTCTGTGAAGCATTTCTCTGGGAGCAAGAAAATATCCGACCTGGATATAGGGTGTCAAAATACACTCAGCAAAAGCTACCCTAAACTCAGCAAATGTATCCTAAACTTCTAATAAAGATATCCTAACCTTGGTAAAGGTGTCCTAAACGTGTACTATTGACCTAAGTCTTTTTATTATTTGGGATTCAGGTCCTGAATTTTGTTTTCTTTCCTTCCCCTAGGCACTGAGATTGAGTGCGATGCAGATGCGTTTGTCAGCGGTCTTGACGAGAATTGATAGGGTTCGATGCAGTCAGGTGGAGTGATGCCAACTTTATGACCTCAGCTTCAAATGTAAGTGATAGATATGGTTTGGTAAATAATTGACTGATTGTTTAATTGAGAATCAATGGCTTTAGAATTGACAGCAGACAGGAGCTTTATCTAATTGACCCCGCCATCAGCCCCGCGTCATATGATGAACTCTGAGAATGTCACGAGCCGAATCGCAAGTGCTGAAAGCGTCTTCGCAGTGCCGACTGAACCTAAGAATGGACTGATTGCAATAGCGTGTTTACAGAATGTTCTGGCCAGCGTTGGGATTGGTAAGAGAGTTAGTACTTGACAGTGCCGCTTTCTACAATTGGTGAAGATGCTGCTTGAAGGTGCCTAAGTAGCTAGGCTAGACAATAAGCAATTGAACGCGAAACAATCGGAGCCTACCGACGGAGGTGAGTTTTATTAACATTGAAGGACAAAACACATCAGATTGTGGTCTCAGAATAATTGTCATTCTAACATCACCATGGGCAAACATGACAACGTTGATAAGCCGCAATCGCCTCGTCGCTGATTGGCCCTTTCGCCACTGATATCCGGGGATCGGCATCGGAACATCCTTGACATCACTAATCCCATCCAAAACTTCCGCCATCTACACACTCCAAATCCACTGCGCATCTTCATTCTCTCACCACCACATTCTCCCTCACAGCCGCCACAATGTTTGCGCGAACAGTAGCTTCAGTACGACCTATCCCTCCACCACATTTACTATCCAAAAGCTAACTCTTCTAGTCCCTCCGACAAGCCGCCCGGCCTGTCGCCGTCCGCTCAACAGCTCCTCTCTTCCGCACACCATTCTCCCCCCTCACACCCTTCCAAGCCCGTCTGCTCTCCGACCAAACCCGCTCCGCAATCGACAAAGCTGTAGCCTCAGCCCCCGTCGTGCTCTTCATGAAGGGAACGCCCGAGACACCGCAGTGCGGCTTTTCGCGCGCCGCCATCCAGATCCTCGGCCTCCAGGGCGTCAACCCCGATAAATTCGCCGCCTTCAACGTCCTCGAGGATCCCGAGCTGCGCGAGGGTATCAAGGAGTACTCCGACTGGCCTACGATCCCTCAGCTCTACGTCGCGAAGGAGTTTATTGGTGGAACGGACATTCTGGTTTCGATGCATCAGAATGGTGATCTGGCGAAGCTATTTGATGAGAAGAAGGTTATTCTTGAGGGAGAGCCTGAGCAGAAGGAATAGAGCGGCGATTACGATCGGTCGAGTGTATAACATGGTGTAATAGTGAAGAGATACTTTTATATGACAGATACGAATGTACAGCAAAAGAACGGAATAGAATGGTGTGGTCATCTGCTTTTCGACTTCTGGTGCTCTGAAGAAGCTGAGGGTCATTGGCATGTCGCTGGTTGTATTCGCGCCAATTGCTCCAGCTGGTCTGATAAGAACGGCGATTTGGAGGGCGCACATGTTTATTCGCTACGAGCAGAATACGATCAAGAGCTGCGAAGGGTTGCGATGACGGAGTAGTACAAAATAGCCGCTATAGCTTCTCTAGCTTCGTATCATGAACAACGGAAAAGGGCTCATTGCAATGAGGCTTGGGATACTGTCATATCCTCTAGATCGAAGAATCAGGTCCCTTCTTCACTTCTTATCAGGTTGTAGGAGCAGTTTGTTAATCAGGTCACATTACAAGGCGTCAACGACGCCTTCGTGTGTTGCGCTTTTGGTCGTCTCGATTTATCCGTAGGTCTATATTCCGAAAGCAATGGTCTATGTCTATAAAGTCTATATCTTCCAGTTCATGTCCGTCAAATCTCAGCTCAGAGCGCCATGCCATGAGATCTCTCCCAGCGCCTCTGCCAAGCGTCCAGCAGCACAGTTCGCGAATGTCCCTTACACTCCGGCACAAACGCAACCTCGATCACTGCACTTCGCCCCATCTCAGCATAATCACGTTTCATAGCACAAGCTATCTGCTCAAACCTCGCCATGACCTTTCGAAACTCGTGATTATCATCCCTGAATATACGTTCTTGAAAAAGCACCCCGGGGGCTTCGAGCGAAACGAGAAGCCAGTCAAAGTCATGCTGCCAATTCAGTAGCCGGAACACTAGCTCTCGGGGGAATAGAAAGATCTCTTCGCCGTGTGCTAGGCGGAGATTGAATCCTGGGAGGACATCGTAGCTGAATATGAGGTCAATGTTGGGTTTGGGCTCTAGGGAGGGAGATCTTGGGACTTCGGATGGTGGGCTGGGCGACCTTTGTCCAGATTCGATGGAGTTCCGTGGCCGTATGGGCCTGGGTTGATTGCCATTCTGGTTCGCTTGCTGAGACTGCTGAGAGGCATTATTTGAGTTCATGGATGAGGGGGGAGGTGCATTGGGATCTCTATCACGATATTCATCTGTCTCAAGTCCCGTTTGGGTGCCCGTGGAAGTAGTATGTGCCGGTGGATTGCTCGCAGGCTCTCTATGGTCGATCACCATATTTGGTCTTGGATCCGGCCCCATATGCCTAAGATTATCTTGTAAATCTTGCATCTGACTTACACGTCGGGGCTGCGCGTCAGGAATTAGATGTCCCGATTCATCAATACCCTAAGTAATCTGAAGTCAGTAAAGTATCCCTTCAAGCGTTATCTCACTTACATATCCAGCCAACTCATCAGGACTGCAAGTCCTGCCGTAAGGAATCGGACGTCTGTCATTAATGGCTTCGTGCTGTCTCGGGGGTTGGCTCGACTGAGGACTCTCTGAAGATGAGGAAGAATCACCATCTTCATTGTCTACTGCTCTGAAGACGGTAAGCGCTTTTGTCATGTGCATCTGAATTAGAGAACCAACGCTGCATGGTCGGGGCTCTCGCGCTCCGGAGGAGATGGTGTAGGGCTCTCGCTGCCAAGAACGTTGCTGGGATTCCTCGATCGTCGGCCGTTAGCTGCAGCCGTAGTTCGTGAACGTGTTGAGCGTAACCTCTTCCCACTATCTTTCAGATTCTTTCGAAGGAAGAACCAGACAATGTTGGTGTAAATCCTGTATTCTATAGTTAGAGAGAAGTCAAGTGACGAGAGGGAAAAGTTACTCGTGTTGATCTCTGGGGTACCGAAGAGATCCGTCATTGCTCGTACTAGGCCAGTACAATGAGCCATTCTCGCAAACACAGAGGTATTCATGTGCCATCTCAATAAGTCCATTTTGCTGGACTATGTCATTTCTATCGACCAGATCCTTACCCGATATTCTAAATCTGGTCATGAATTGGGAGCGGAATTGCTCTAGACTCGCTTGGTATGCAGTTGCACCTCTCTTGCGACTTCTCTGCCTCAGTTTCCGACGTATATCAACCAAATCACTGATTGAACCGGATGTAGAAAATATCGCCAAGTACTGACCAAGGGAGCAGCCGCAAGCCAACTCCATGGCTGGTGGCGGCGACTTGAGAAGCAGATAGTTGCTGGAATGAGAAATAGGCACAAGGCATTTGCCAGGCAATACACATTTATTACTATCGAGACAAGTCACGAAAAACAGGTATTCGAATTATTTCTCTCACATTCTACTCATCTTGGTCTGATCGTCATCGGAGGCCTACTCCTTCACGGTGGTGATTCTGCCTAATAATCCTAGTCACTGCGAAGCCCCTTGCATAATCCGTTATATGTTTTGTTGGATAGAACTGCATTCTTCTACTTTTCGAAACAGCTAAATGTATGTGCCGCACACATGCGTACAATTCTCGGGGTCGCCGCATGCGCTGGAAATGTATCCCCAGACGCGGTTGACTCATTCTGACACGAGTGACTACGCGTCAGGACTAAACTTGAGTCCCATCTTTCTTCAAAGTCTCTTATTGGATAATGAGACTATTGAGTGATCGATCGGCAGATTGTGTAGCGGTTGGACTTGCGCCAGTAATGAGGTAGGGTTGTAGGTGCTCAACTCAGCAAGAAATAGGGGGAAGAAGTAATAAATCGAATTTCAGTAGTAGTTTCGATTTAGCTTTGGGATATTCACAGTGATTGCTTGGATTGTGGATAGTTGCCTGGATTTTGAACCATGATCGCATGAATGTTGTTGGTTGAACCCATGATGCATGTAAGGCATCCAATCACGAGATCAACTTCAAGGCTGCTTCGCCTCACAAGGCAGTCTTAGCCATTTTGTTGCATAATAATTCTCGGATTCCCACAAAAATACTATGTCGTTAAACCAATTCTATACAAAGAGTTAACCATAGTCCTCTGGCTTAGTCGTTGTAATGGAATGCAATTAGCAATGATAAAATAATAGATTGGTCAATCCGAGAATTTCTAGGCAAGTCTCAGGAAAAGGGTCGGGTTTCTGGCTTATGCGTATCTATTGTATATGCTAACATATATAATAACTTTAGAACACTCACGATATCCTGAAGATAGTAAATCTCAACGGTTGGAGATCTCGATTATACGAGGCAGGCACTTTTTTATGATGTTTGTATATGATCCTAAGCTATCCAAACTCTACAAATGGGACAGGGACTTGCTTTCTGGAATTTCTGGCCACCCATGCGCCGCCACAACGCCATCAAGCTCATCATCGTTAGCTGAGATGAGCTGCAAGAGGTAGTATCTCGACTGGACTACCTCATCTAAGATCTTTTGGTCTGAGATCGAGTTCCACATATCAACACAGGCTTTGACAACATCATACTTGTATTCCGTGGACTCATCCTCAAACTTGACAATTTTCTCTTCCTCAGCCTCATCTTTCATCTTATACTTTCCGTTGGTAGCCACCTTGAGCTCCTGAGTGACAATATCAACAACAGACTCATAAACAGTGCCTTGGTTGTTGGCCCAAGTAGCAAGAAGATCTGCGAAGCCGTCTTCGTAAGTGAAATTCGGGTCGTCTTCTTCATCCTCGTCCTCAGCTTCCAGATAAATCGTCTTCATGAACTGTTTGAAGTCGAGTTTCTGTTCCCGGGCTTCCGCGAGTGCCTTGTCGACTGCCTTTTGGGACTCGCTCCCCGTCAGGAGTTTCTTTTTTCCATTAGAAGTTGAGCCGGCGCCAAGAAGTATCTGCACTTTTGTTGAATTGGGGTTAATGTTAAGGTCTGTAGTGAGCCATTTTCCAAATTTGCTCTCGTCAACCCAGTAAGGTAGACGTGTTGTGTATAAGAGCTTGTCAACCTTGTCCCTTTTTCCTTGTTTATACATCCTACTAATTTGAAACAAGACATCCCAGCCTATCCATATATAAGTTAACTCAGAGCGTTTATGATGTGAAATGCTTACAAGGGTGCCCATATTGATGTCCTGGTGTCACGATCAGTCGCTGAGGCAGACCGAGCCCCTCCAAAACCTCGCCACAGGAGAACTCTCCAGAAGAGCCGTGGTGATCCAGCTTGAATGCTTTGACTGGTTGGCCCTGGAATACTTGCGGGCAAACGACGTCTTTCTCGAGGGTAAAGTTGCCGTCGCCTGCACAGAAATAGGAGAATCGCCGTTGACTCTTGCCACTTCCGCGCCACATGATCACCGCCATGAGAGATCTCTCGTTTGGTGTAGGGCTGTTCTCTTTCACGGATACCAACTTGAGGTTCTTGAGTAAATCCCCCTCCTTCTGGGGTTCTGGGGGTATCTTGAAACCCTTATCATAGCTGTAGCCGTCGCCACCAACGCACCAGAAACCGACGGGGCCATGGTTCATCTCCTGACCAAAGAAGTTACACCCAATGGCCTCAGCACCAACTACGCGAGTTGTTTTGATACTGCACTTCTCCTGGGAATTGTGTAAGTGGGTATTGGCGTAAGCAGAAGGACAGACTCACGAAAGCGGTAGAAACTCGGGTTACAATCTTCTTGTCGGTTGCACAATAGAGCCAGAAGTCCTTCTCAAGTACGAATTGATTCATCTTTTCAGCCTCGATCAGATTGAGTACACCCTCAAAATGATCTCTATCCCAGTGTGTGACGACCCACGCCCTCAAATAAGGACGGCCGATCCCGTGGATTCGGGCAATCAGCCGGAGTCCAACATGGACTACGCGACTAGCTTCTAGTCCTTGAGCATCTCGATCACCGTCCATTATGAAAGCGCTTACTGTTTTACCTTTCCCATTGACGAGTAAGTGGACAGAGCAGTCACCACAAGGAACAGGGAGCTGATAAGTGACCACTCGGGGTAGGTTCTTCTCGTTGTACGGTTGCATTGCGCTGCTCGCTTCGTCGCAGAGCCTCTTCGCAAAGGAATCATCATGAGCTATTTTATATCAGTAAGATTCTTGTTTTATAAAACAAAGTGCGCTTTCAATCAATACTTACTGGAATCCATGGTTTGCGATCTTAAACGTACGCTAAGTACTCAATACTCTGATTTGGCATAGGGACGAGAACTGGCTGGGATATAGAAAGGGGAGCTGCGCATGACTCAAAGAATGAATCAAGTTCATATTGGGACTCGAGGGTATTCCAATCTTATACTTATCGCCTTGCGACCTGTGACTAGAGAGAATGGGGTGATGCCAGCCACATTCCCAGCGCAAAGCCTATTTGAGAAGCTGAAAGACTCCATGCGTTGGCCTTTGAACGCATCCATACAAATGATGATATTTTATATCTCCCACGAATGTGACTCGGTGTAGTCACGTTTCATCGCAACGCAAGTGGCCATGTTGAACTTCAGCTCGTGGCCCGGCCCCAGCCTTGGGCGGATAAGCGGCATGGCAGCGGGAGTCTGTTTGAGCGCCTCACTGTAAGTATACGGCCATTGTATGATATATCATCTATTGATCTGACAGTGAATAAGTCACATAGCTGAAGAAATCTAGCAGCTTTCCCTGATGGTATGTGATTGAGACGCGCAAGAAATATGCCCAGCACAAATGAGTGGCTGCCGTCGAAGAATTCGTCGATTGGCCTTAGGGGGTTTTATTCCTTGTGATATGAAGCTTGGTAATTTAGAGAGAAACTCGAGTCAATAAACAGTATTCAGAACGTATTGGCGAGACACAGCAATGGGTAGGTTTCGCAAAGTAGTGGTCTTGTTACCCGCATTTGGGTGTGCATCTGTTCAAGGTACAGAATACGGACATCCCTCTAAGTGCTGGATATAAAATATGGTGGTAGTCGTTCAAGATTGAGGTTCTGAAAGATTCGTGACCGTGGTTCACAATGCGACTGTTTGAACCCAGTCATCCAATCACGAGATGCCCTTATGTGCTTCGCCTCAGAACGCATTCTGACATGCCATTTAAATATCGCAACGGAGAACGCTGATGTCTTGAATGAGCTTCAACAAATTTATAAGTTCGGGTAGTACAGTTAATTAAATAAGTCCGTTTTACCACGCTTATCGAAAATTCCCATGGACATAAAACCAAAGTTAACGTTGACGACCACGGCAAATGAACCTCCAGGACACGACATCTTCTGCACCCCCGAAAACAGCGAGTTTCTCTCCAAAGTACACTACAGAGACCTCAATACCAGCGACAGGGAAATCCGCCTTCTCAAAATCCTGCCCAACTCAGGATCGGGCTTCATCGAATGCGAATTATTACCCAGCGTGAAACTCGCTGATGTGCATAAGCAATATCTTGCACTATCTTACTGCGCAGGTGATGCGCGCAACACAAAGCCCATCATCGTCAATGGGGCAAGGTGTAACGTCTTTGCCAACCTACACCACGCCTTGAATACAGTTCGCTACTATTGGGAGACACATACGTATCATCGAGATTTGTTCCTGTGGGTGGATCAGATATGTATCAACCAGGCTAATCTGATAGAGAGATCTATTCAAGTTGGGTTCATGAGGGCTATATACGAGAGTGCGAAAGAGACTCTTATTTGCCTGTCTGTGGCCGATACAAAAGGAGACGGTATGCGATGGCTTGTAGAACTGGAGGAAACCTATGTGAATCGGGCGATTATCGGAGAGACACTTCCATCAGAAGATGGGGGCGATCGTCGACATCCTTTTTCAACTACCCAATTCCGAACAGAGATGGAGGAATGCCTGAGCCATCATGAGTTTGTGGATGGTTGGATCAAGTTCTGCGACGTCTTGAGCAGTCCATGGTGGGGAAGAGCATGGGTCTTTCAAGAGTTTATGGTTTCGTGCCGAGCGACGTTTCTCTACGGACAGCACTCTATGAAACACGAAATTATGCTGTCACTCATGCCCGACCTCTGCCTATCAACGCTGGAGGTCCTTTTCGAGCCAGAAAAGACCCGCGGAACGTGTATCAAGAAGAAGCTGAAGCGTGCAAAAGTCACTCGTACTCAGGTTTCGCGATCCATCTCCAAGGTTCTCAGTGTCTTTCTCGCCAAACACGAGTGGTATAGAGATTACGATCTGAAGAAGCTTCTTGTATATACACAGAACAGCGAGTCTTCTGATGAGCGGGATCGGATCTACTCCATGGTTGGACTTGCGCACCCTGGTTACGCAATAATACCGGACTATGCATATGAGAACACTTTCGAGAGACTTCTTGTGGAGACTACAAGGCGTATCATTACTTTTGAGGATAGCTTGGAAGTCTTATCATACCTTGGCCGTGGTGAGCCCTCATCCACTGGCTGCAGAAAGTTGCTGCCCTCATGGGTTGTGGATTGGACCACAGTCCAGTCGTTACCCTCCTGGGTCGTTAACCTGGACGAAATTCGACATCTTCCTGAAGCTATGAAGTACGTGGAAGAGATAGACTCGGGAGTCAGCAATCATTACATCAAAGTAGGATATGCCGATTCTTCATTTGTCCAACTCCGACATCCAGTATACCCTGACATGAAGACTACCGCAATACAAGTATGGGCTGTGTTCCTAGATTCCGACTTCATTGTCAACGATCAAAAGATGTTTGTTAGTCAGAACCTTTTCGAAGTCAAGGCCGAATTCCCTGTCCAAAGGGATGACGAGCTTTGGGTTTTCTGCGGCTCATCGGAACCTTTTCTTTTAAGAAGATGTTCGGGCGGATACAGGGTTGTTGGTCCAGTGCTTTGCTTGACTTTGGCATATCAGCCCTTTTGGGGGATATCTGGACGTTTGGATAAGTACGCTGATGAATCTGGAGACCTCGACCCTTCTATGATGGAATTGAAACGAATTACGATCTTTTAGATGCAGACTCATTACGGTAGTGACTTTTGCATTACATCATGGCAATGGGTGTCTTGTTTTTCTTGCGGAGAAGTATTTACTGAGGATATGCTGCACCATCAGCTCTAGGATCACTACCAGCCGACCAAACCGGCGTTCCATCCGGATCAACAGTATATCTAATGATCTGCCCACGCCCAAACATAGCTCTCTTCCACCCCTTAAGCACAACAACATTATGCCCCAATTTCTTCAACTCGTCAACAGTCTTTTCAGAAATACCCTCCTCCACATGAACGGTCCAATCCAACACGTTACCTTCGTCCGGCATACCGGCTCCAATACAGATTCGTGGTGCATCAAGAGCCTGTTGAGGGTTCAGACCGAAGAGAACTTGGTTGAGTAGAACTTGGATGGTTCCTTGGGGTTGGTTGAATCCGCCCATTACACCGAATGTAGAATGCAGGGACCCATCACTGATATTGGTCGCCATCCCGGGAATGATCGTGTGATAAGGTCTTTTTCTCGGCTCAAGCTTGTTAGGATGTTTCTCATCCAGCGAGAAATTCGCACCACGGTTCTGAAGTGTGAAGCCACAACCTTTGGGAATAATCGCCGTTCCGAAACCAGCGTAGTTGGAGTTAATAAACGAAGCAGCGTTACCAGCGGAATCAGTAACAGTGAAGTAAACTGTATCGCTGCTTTGAAGAGCGGGAGATACGAAATCGGGGTTTCCGGGCTGAACACCGTCGTGGGCTTTTGAAGCAGAGAAGATCTTGGCGCGTTCGGCGAGATATGAGGATGAAATCATGCCAGCGGTAGGAACCTTTGTGGTGTCCGGGTCCGTGACGTACCAACTTGCATCTGTGAAGCCGAGACGTAGCGCTTCGATAATAGCGTGGAGATACGCCGTAGAGTTATGATCTTCTGGTGTGAATCTTGGAATCTTTCCCTGTTTCTCGAGCTGTTCGATTATGCCCAGGGCCATGAGAGCGACGATACCCTGGCCGTTGGGGGGATGTTCCCAAAGCTCAACACCGCCATTGGGGTCTTTGTCCGTGAGGCCCTGACCGCGAAACTTAACAGAGATAGGTTCCGTATTTTGGGTGCCGGTTTCAAGATGATGCTTCAAGTCGTCGAGCTCGAGATATCCTCCCAGGTCTTGTACGACCTTTACGATCTCCTCTGCAATGCGACCGGTGTAAAAGCCCTTCTTACCTTCCGTCGCCAAAGCTCTAAATGTTTGTGCGAGAGTTGGGTTCTTGAAGACTTCACCTGGTCGAGGAGCCCTCACACCATCTTGCGCAGATGGGTCTTTCTTGAGCATCTCTGCAAAGTTAGGTGATGCATCACGAAGAAGCTTCTCTTGAGCTTGCCACTACCTCAAGTCAGTCCAAATCCCGCACTCACAAGAACGGTACCTACAGAGTGAGAAGCGATTTCAGTAAGAGGGAAGCCATTCTCAGCTAGTTTAATAGCCGGCTCGAGGATCTGGCTCAAGCTAACTTTTCCACTGCCGAATCGCTCGATGGTATCGACCCAGCCAGCTGCAGCGCCGGGAACAGTAGCAGCGTGGACGTGATGAGTTGGGATTTCGCCAACTTTGCCGTCGGGGATATTGAGGCTCTTGCGGATGTTCTCAATGGTCTGCTTTGAGCCGGAGCGGCCGGAGCCGTTGAGACTTTTGACTTGTTTTGTGGTGGCGTCGAAGTAGAGGAGGAACATGTCACCACCGATGCCGGTGGATACGGGTTCAGTGACATTCAGACCGGCAGCTATTTCATATCAGCGTCCCAATCCTCGTTCACGGTTGTCGTCCAATGATCATACCAACTGCGACAGCTGCGTCCTGATGTCTGTTAGCTACTGAACCATGGGTATGAAGAACACTGACTTACAGCCGCATTACCACCAGCCCTCAAAATCTCAAGACCACAGTTCGCAGCATGAGGTTGAGGCGCCGCGACAATACCCTCTGTGCTATGAACAACACTCCTCCTTGAAGGAAAGCCAGTGAAGCCAGCCGAAGGCGGCTCATAAATCGACGACGTAGGCAGAGGCATGGCAACAACTCACAGAGCAACGAGCAGTACAGAAAATAATACAAGGTTGAGGGAGAATAGGTTATTTACATGATATTTATGATGTAAACACTTTCCTGTAGACCTCGGGTCAAGCCCGACGTTGTACTTGGAGACGTGGGGGAGGGGTTCTTTTGAATGGCGGGGTAAATTTGGAGGGGCGAGAGGCATAATGTCGTGATAATGCCTCTCGCCGATCTTCGGGTGTGAATGTCCGGGGTTTGATCTTTGGAGGGCGCTTTTACATCACTCACGACAGATTTCGGGGTAATTGTAGTATCTTGAATGTGACTAGAAGGAGCATGGTTGACAGTTGACATGAAGCCTAAAGAATAAGCTTAACAGCGCCAAAACAGCCATATTCTCAGCACAGCCAATGAATTGAATACCATATGTCGCTTATATGGAAATGACTGTCGGTCTAATTAACTGACAAGCAAAAGGAAATGCTTCCGTCAAACCGACTTGGCAGCGGCGGGTGTCACTCAATTGTTTCCATCTCCATACCCGACTTCACTTAGCAATCTTCATCCCCAGCCTCTGAAAATACGAGTAAATCGATCCCTTGGGCACCTTCTCAAGGCTACTCATCCATCTCGCGGCAAAGCTCCCTAAGAACCGTTAGCTTTTACTTTTATCACAGTCGCAAACAAAATGACTTACCAACTCTGGGCCCAATCTCATCGAACCCCAGCGCTCTCAGCACCCAAACAAGCTCAAACTCCACCAAAACACCGATAGCAACAATGGTACCAGCTGCGATCAACCCAGCATAAACAGGATGTTCTTTCGCAAACTCCAAAGCGGTGTTTGTAGCTCTCTTTACGGCTTCAGCCATGGGCTTAGCAAGCTCTGCGCCATCTTTCAAGAGGTTCTCGATCTTGCGCTCGATGGCTTCGGCGAGGCTTGATGTCCAGCCGGTGGTGGAAACGACCTGTTCAAGACGGTGGTGAAGTTGAGCTTGGGTGCCCGTGTGGGTTTGTAGAATGGTTACGAATTGAGAGGCTGCGTCGTCAGAGTAGAGGACTGGTTGGGCGGTGATGAGCTTTGAGTCTGTGTTGATCTCGCTCACCTGAAGAGACGGTTGAGTTGGGGCGCTTTGGCCGGTAAGACAAGAGATAATGGAGGTGAGTGGATTCATCTTGGTGAAGTTGCTCGTTGCGTAGGTGGTGTTGATGAAAGGAGGAGATGATGCTGAGTTTGGTCAGACGAGGCTCTGTTTTATTCTGATGACGGCATGGAAGGCCTCCTGCATGCTTGCGACCACTCACACCATTCATTCATCTGCATCAATAACAATCGAGATGTAACCGCTGTTGAAAGCCGTTGGCTAAGTTTATTGCCCGCGCCTTGGTGTTGGCCCAGTTTGAGGCCATGAGAGCGCAAACATCGCACAATTTGGCCGGACGGTAGCCCGCAAGGCATACCACATTGCGGCCTACCACATTCTACAAATGGTCTTCGATTACCGTTTCATAGATATCATCCAGCTGCAGTCAAATTGTCTTGCACGTGAGTCCTTAGTATGGATGAGTTCAAGATGAGATTTCTACGAAACTGCCTCTGCCAAATGATAGGCAGGACTGCTAGCATAACCAAGATATCCTTGCAAGTCACTTGCGTTCGGAGTATTTCTCCGCTTTCTTACGGACTTAAATCACCTCAGGGCCTCTGGATTCCTCATACTTAATGGCTCCAAATAATTACATTGTGCGCTGCAGAGACACTCCGGCCGCTCCCGTCTGGTCCCCTATTTGGCACAGCACAACACCAAGCTTTGCCCACGTGCAACAAGGCTTCCTGTCTCATTAATAATCCACCTGTGATCCCCAAGCTAAAACCCTGATCCAGATCCTCTAATCGAACTAACATCCCCGCGTGGTCCCTAACATTCCAGACCCTGAGGGCCCAGGAACGTAACTTTCACCTCGCTCATGGTGGCGGATCGGAAGAGGCCAACCTAATCGAGACCTCATTAAAACGATACAAATATCTCAGTGAATAGACTCCAGGAACAGTCGAAATGGGTAAAGGAATGTCTACATGGCGCTGATCGGCCATTAAATAGAGTTAACTGTCATTGTCTACTAACCCCAGACCCGCGCCACATACATAGCTGGTATGTAAACTATTCACATTCCTGAATTCATAGGCATTTGATAGCCCAGATCACCTGTGGCTAGACTCTTGCGGCCAAGACCGAATAAGGTACCGTGTTTTATCGGACAAGCCTCATGCCAGGTCCCGGCCCTGATCAGCGTTCCTGCATTGGTGATTAACTTTTCCCAAAGGGTGATCAATTCGTTGCCAAGATCTCACTACATCGTGCCTACGACTGACGTATAAGTACTGGTTGCTGTCTTGCAAGGCTGTGATCTGATCAGCTCAACAAACACTCCAACTCAAACACACTCGCTCTATTCCCTATCTCACTATATCATATCATTTCATTTCATTCAAAACTTCAAAATGAAGCCTGTTCTCGCTTTGACAGTCTGCCTCAGCAGCATCTTGGGTGCTGAAGCTTGGGTTCTTCCTCCTGGCGGTGCACCCAAGGCGGGCTATGCTCTTCGGCCAGACGACAAGACTGGCAACAAGAACGCCGCCGACACCAAGATCAAGTTCTCACCCGCTGGTTCTTCTTCTTCTTCCGGTACAAAGTCAAACGCTGTCGTCGCTGGCTTCATCAACCCCAAGACCGGTGGTGCATCGCGCCGTGGCCTTGACAGGCGCGATGACGATGACGATGGTGACGATAGTTCCGATGATGGTGTTGAAGGTGACCCTGAAGTCACCATCTTCACTCGTCCAGCCACAAAGATCGGCACTCTCAAGAAGGGAGAAACCTCTGGCAGCGATGATGATGACGAGGATGAGACCAAGTACTTCAAGACCAACAACAAGAAGCAAAACGGCAAAAACAAGGACGACGACAAGAAGAAGGACGACAAGACCAAGACCAAGAATGAAGACAGTACCAAGACAAAGACAAGTGACGATGCGAAAAAGACCACCAAGACCAAGAAAGAGGATAGCACCAAGACAAAAGCTAGCGATGATGCTAAGAAGACTAGCAAGTCGAAGCACTCCGGGGATGATGATGACAAGAAGACTACCAAGACTAAGACGGAGAAGACTACCAAGACGAAGAGTAGTGATGATGCGACCAAGACGCCCAAGGTGAAGGATGATAAGAAGAAGGGCTCAAAGGATGATAAGGTTGACGACAAGAAGAAGTCCAAGAGCACATAACCCACTCTCACTGTGTATCACCACGTTTCTGTTACAACCATGTATTCTATAGACTTTCATTTATCGGGACCATACACGCGGGAGTTCAGGAAAGGTAGCTGTAAATCATCATTCAGCCTCTATCTGGAATTGTATTTGTATCATAACAAAAAAAAAACGTCTTCTTCCCCTGACGTGACAGTGTTCTAAATATGCTTTCCTCTTCTCCGCAACTGGTATAGCATGCTATGGTTGTAGTTCTGGTACAGATATGTAATACTTTGCTTGGACCGCTTCGAGATTGGCGCGTCCCTTGTGCTGTGGAGTGTTGAACTTGTTCTCTATGGTGATATCGGAGCGACAATGCGCCGTGGTGTTGGTGGCTTAGATAGGGATACCCTGGTATTCGTCATATCCGAGTGCGAGGTTCATGTTCTCTGCGAGATTGTTAGAATGGTGATGGTGGAGCTGGGTGAAGGACTTACGGAGGCATTGTGTGGCGGCACCCTTGTGGAGGTTGTCGATGGTGGCGCATCTTTAACAAGTTAGTAGATGCATCGGATCTGGGATGGAGAGACTTACACAACGACGCGCTTGCCGGTGCTGTCGACAGCAAAGCCACCAATCTCAACGTGGTGCTTGTCCTGAATGGCCTTGACAACACTTCACGATGTCAGTTCATGTGATACCACAGCGCTGGGGGGTACGTACGGAGCCTCGCCAACAACCTTGACAAGCTTCTCGCCGGCGTATCGGTCCTGGTAGATTTGGCGGATATCACGAGATGTCATCTCCTTGTTCAGGGGAATGTTGACAGTCAGGTGAATACCGCGGAACCAGGAGGCGCTGTATTGTCAGTCTTTGGTGACGTAGTGGATGAGGTAGCAGGCTTACACATGGGGCATGAAAGCAGCGGGTGTACCGAGGTGGTGGCTAATCTCTCGCTCGTGGATGTGACCTGTGAGGGAGTCTTTACAAGTCAGCTTTCTGTCTCCCATGTCCTCTTTCTTTGCACTTACAGGGCAATAGGTTGTCCTTGAGGTTGTTGGTGTCGTTCTTGGGAGATGGCTTGGTACCTGTTCAACTGTTAGCCTTCAAGCCCCGATTATGCTGCGCGCAAGACATCTCGTCCGCGCGAGTTGTGACATACCAGCTCCGCTGTAACCACTGACACCGAAAATGCTGGGAATGCCGCCGAGATGCTCAACAATAGGAGCCAAAGCAAGCTGGGAGCCAGTGGCATAGCAGCCAGGGTTGGAGATTCTTGTAGCTGTGGCAAGCTGGCTTCTGGGCTGAAGCTCGCAAAGACCGTACTTCCATGTCTTTTGGTCCTCGTCAAAACGGTAATCGGCGGAGAGATCGACAATTAGGCTCTTGCTGTCGCCGAGAGCCTCAACGAAGGGCTGGCAGACAGCATTGGGGAGCGCCAGAATCCAGGCATCGACCTTGCCATCCTTATCCAGCTGGGTAACCTCCTCAGGAGACAGACTCTCATAGATGATCTTGCGCTTGCTGTAGCCCTTCAACTCCTGGCCCTGGAGTTCACGGGAAGAAACATGTCGGAGATCCATCATGGGGTGCTCGTTCAGAAGATCGATAAGAGCCTGACCAGTGTATCCACGAGCTCCAATGAGGCCAATTCTTGAGGGAGAATCATTGGAGGCATTCTTCATGCCCAGAGGAGGGTTGGGGTTGGTCTGGATAGCGTAGGACAAACGGCCGGTAGAAGAGAGGCATCGAGCCTGTGCGACAGTGAAGCTTCGGCCGAGGGAGATCTTGGGCACGGGCGCAACGAGGGTCGAGACAGCGGCGGCTCGGGGGGCAACGCGGCGGGCACTGGTGCGCAGGGCGGAAGAGGTAGCGGACAGCATGATTCCGATAGGGAGCGAGCCCAATTGACCACTGTAGGGAGTAGTAGAGGTGGATGAGGGGTCGTGATGAAGGGATTGTTGGCGGGCTTAGATTTCAGATGCGACAAAATAATCCTTGATCGAATTGACGTTGGTGTGGGGTTTGTCGTTTTTGTGTGGCTATTCGCGGCCGAAGTCGGTCGCTGGGTAAGTTGCTGACTCATCAGGTTGGGCCATGGTCGATATGCACTTACTGACGGGGAGACTGCCCAGTAGCAAGAGATAGAAGTCAACGTGGTCAATTGTGCAGGTCCATTTGAAGGGTTTCTGGCTCCGTACCTTGTGTACAAAATGAGGAGTTGCCTTTAAGTCTTCATGTCACTCAACTGACCGTTGCTGTTGCATGGTACACCACCGCCTTCGACGTTAAATAAAAGTCAAATGATGGCTTCAACGGCGCCAGCGAAGTAAGGTAGACGCCAACGGACAATTTCCCTGTGATGAAGGGAGGACTTTGAAACTTGGAGCCATCTCAATGTCGTGTGTTGGGCTAAGAAGAGGATGGAAGTGACGGAAGGTTTCACAAATGCACTCATGATGACATCGTTTGGTCAAGTTCAGTGTAGGTAGGTACATGGTGAATGGAAAAAGGAAGGCCATTTGGCGGTAAAGTTGCCATGACCAATGTTAAGTTTTGGGCGGTCTATTGCTTTGTAACATTCATCAGCGGAAGGGGCTCATTGTTGTTCTGGATGGCGTAATGGCCGTCCTCAATCCTGTGCTCAACTTGGAAGCAAGTTAACAACAAACGATGCGAGGTGCCGACACAAACAACACTCGTCGCATGAAAAGCCTCTGCGTCAACTCCTTCTATTCTTTCCAGGCTAGCAAACGCACAACCTTGACAAATTAGGTGATGGCCTCAGCCTCTATATCCGCATCTCATACCACGCCATTCCGGCTAACAATGTATCAATGCACCAGCCCAAGCTTTCCACACAAGCGAATGCGCCCTTCTACAACGCTGAGGCCTTTGCCCACTCGTCATGATGGATAGATCAAGGCTTCAGGTTCCGTTGCCAAAGGGCCATCTGATTGTCGATTGAACAGACGACAGAGAGGCCGCTTGGATACTGTGCACCTGATGATCCCTCAACAAGAATTAGGACTCTGGTTTTATCTTTCATGGTGACGACTTGGCCGCTCAAGCATGTACTAATCCAATCCGATGAAGAGCGCCAATCTTTGCGGCAACTTCCAAACTCTTCGGCACCTGCGTTGGACGGCTGTAGCAACTGGACTCTATACCAGCTCTTGGTTCGTGTCTGACGTACAACCAGCAAGGGCCAATCGCTCAGACTTGTGCGTCGGGGCTATTTTCAGAGTGTCGTCGATGTCCTCAACCAGCTCGGCTGCCACAGAATCATGGAGCTATGTCGCTATTCTCAAACAAATACCACGGGTCGCAATTCACGCGATTGGAAATTCGCAGGACAGCCTAGATGCTTTTACGTCTGCCTGATGGGGTATCACCTTCCATATATCATCAATATTCAATAACCCCTCCAGTGCTAGTCACGTTGGCCTCATGTCGTGGAAACCGACACTCGTCATGGGTCATGATCCTCTATCACAATCTCAAGACTGCAGCGCCGTGTAATGCCTTTCAACCCGTATACTGTCGACCTTAACGTTGCTTAAGCATGCGAGAAGCCTTGCCAAGTCGGTATTGAACCTCCTGCCTCGATGGTGAGGGATCCAATAGCGGCCTCCTATACTGAGAGCCTGCCACAAGGCCTTATCTCGGTGACAAACACCAGTCGTGGTGCAACGTCCAACGGTGTGGCAGGTAATTTGGTGTATCCTTCTGGCAGGCGGGCTTCCAGTGGTCATGTTTCACGTAACAGTAGCCCAGATGCCTCGCCCTTTGGGCAGACGCATCTGAGGGGGACTTTTGGCGGACCAGTCTGCCAAGTAATTTGACCTCATGGAGGTATTTATGCTGCTGAGGAGACAGTGCAAGGTTCTCCTCGGGCCTTCAAGCACTACGATACTCGTCTAGTGCAAGCAACTCACCCCAACATTCTTTCATCTTTCCTTGAGGCGAGATGGCTGAGATTATCAGACCTGCACTTGGCCAGAACGTTGCTATTGGCACACTCTACGATGCAAGATTTGACCAATTCCTTCCGTCTTCTATTTTGCCGCCAAATCCATCACAAGGAACCGTCTTGCGAAGTCCTTGTCTGCCCTCTCATCAGTGCCAGAGTGGAATACATCAAGGCTCCGGTCATGCGAGTCGGTTCAGCGCGATGCGCATCGATGGCAACCTTGCAGCAAGCATTCTATCGGGTTTAATCGACCTCAAAGGATCTGCCAACTTCCTGAAAGACAGCACATTAGATGGCGATATACTCTATGGTGTTAACCGGAGTTTCTTTAACACCTATGAAGATGTCCTAAATCTCCACCAGAGTGTGTATAGAAGCGGAGTGGCCTCTGGAATCTTCCACCCGGCCGATCGTCGCAGTACCCATGTGGTCACCGGCATTCGGTGGGGGCTACAAAGCATCATGACAATGAAGCATCGCATAGACGATGCAGGTCAACGAGCGACCCTAGAAGTTGCTTTTCAGAAAGACTTGGCGGAACTGGACGACATTGCCAGGTGCATTTACTCCGTCGACTGCGGAGACGATTCACTAAGTCATCGACTTGAACTCGACTATGAGTTCATGCTCTATACAGATATCCAACGTGATTATGGCATTTGCACAGAGACACTGCCTGTGATGTGCAGGTTTGTGCAAACAGGTCCGCAGCAGATTACACACACTTTTGACGGCGCAGGGTACCCGATAGAGTATACTTTACTTCCCATGCACATACTCCGTCATCCCATGCCTGGCGGGGGGTTTGTTCCCAGCCCTCAACGTCCCCTGAGAGCTGTCACCAATGTCGATCCTTTATTTGTTCTTTTTGATGATTGGAACTCTTGTAAGGAGAAACTCGAGGAGTACAGACACTCATTGGTGGGTCGGGAACAATATCTTGCAAGAGACCACATCGAAGAAGTCGATGCAGCCATTATTAGGCTTGAAACATTCCGGAAAGACGTCCAGATAACTCTACAAAGGATTATTCTAGGCATCAGAGATGACACAGAGCATGAACATCGTCTCGATTACCTACTTGCGGATCACGGATCATCTGCCCGGCAGATCTCTATGATCGCTGGTCAGCAAAGCGACAAGCTCAGATTCATCGAGCAATGTCTCAACAGTGGAGCGACATATATCGGTTTCAACGGCGCTTGCATCAACGAACGCACTCTGTCTCACAATCCTCCTCCATATCATTTTCTTTTCAATAATGCCGTGCTCAAGAGCTCAAGTTCATGGAATGATCAATGCACAGCTCTGAGGGAGTTCCTTCACAACCCCCTAAACCACAACCAGGTGTTTATAGTCGACTGCGATGCCCCCTCTGAGTACAGAGAGTTGGAAGCCCCAGTCTTTGGGCCAATACGAACAATGCCGAGGCCAGTGATTGAAGTTTCGGAGTATCGGGAGAGGTCAGCAGAACGCAGACCTCCTACCAGACAGGCAGAGCACCGGGAGCAGTCACAGAGGTGTGTCGCTCGTTGCGATCCGGACGAGATGGATTTTAATACACGAAGACCAGCTGAGCTCCGTCCAGTCAGGATCCCCTGTCCCGGAAGATCTTGTGACTCTCGCTCGAGTTGCGAATGGGTTTGCGTCAATTGCGACATTCCTCTTGAGTTTGAGACAGTGACTGACTGCATCTACTGCGATTGTGGTTCAGCCGCTTACAACTCATGGGACTTCAAATGCAATAGCGATAGTCACGGGCACGGTTTTGATCGATACCGCTCGGATGAACTTTATCGACTCTTGACAAGATCGAAAACACCTGATTGCCGCAATATCCTGGTTCTGGGACAGACTGGTGTTGGCAAGTCAACTTTCATCAATTCTTTCGTCAATTTCTTGACGTTTGAGAGTTTCGACGAGGCTAAGTCAGCCCGAAAACTAGAGTACAAGGTCCCGTGTTCATTCTCAGTCAGTCACTGGAACTCGTCAGACCCAGATCAGGAACTTGAGAACCGGACGATCCGAGTTGGCTCTGGAGATGATGAACACGATGGTACCACTGGTGATTCTGCAACACAAAAGACATCGGTTTATAGAGTCATGTATAATGATACCAAGTACCGAATAATCGATACCCCAGGTATTGGCGACACTCGAGGTCCTGAGATAGACAACAAGAACATCAAGGACATCATGTACGCTCTGAAAAGATATGAAGAGCTTCATGGAATCCTGATCCTAGTAAAGACCAACGAAGCACGCCTCACCCCCACAATTCATTTCTGCTTTGAGGAGCTATTGTCCCATCTTCATCGCAGCGCTGTTGCAAACGTCGTCTTTGGATTCACACATACCCTCATCTCCAACTATGCTCCAGGAGATGCTCTCGGACCGCTTCAACGCTTCCTGAAAGGTAACACAACTGTTGACCTAACAGTAAGCCACGCAAACTCGTACAGTTTTGACGCCAAAAGCTTTCATTACCTGGCTGCGTACTTTCAAGGTGTAAGGGGCCAAGATGAGGGAAGCTCTCGTGAAAGTTGGAATAGATCGAGAGCAGAAACTTTGAGGCTACTGTCTTATATAGACAACCTCAGACCACATGAGATCAGTCAAACGCTCACCATGGAGGGCGCACGCGAAGCGCTTGGTCATTTGATGATTCCCATGGTTGAGGTTTCCCAGGAGATCAGAAAGAATTTGAGCCTTCTGGAGGAAAGGATGGCAGAGTTGAATGATATGCGTCTGACGGGAGACGAGCTACGAAAGAGACTTCATCTAGAAAGGATTAAAGTTGTTCCTACAAAGCTCGATAAGCCTCGGACTGTGTGCAAGAACAAGCGCTGCTGCGAGTTCAAGTCCAATTCCAGTGGCGAGGTTGTCACGTTCTACAGGTCAATCTGTCACGAAGATTGCAGGTTACCAGGTGTAACCGAAGAGTGCGTAGGCCATCCAGAACTCATCAAATGTCGGGCGTTCAAGGAGACCAAAGACAAGAGCTGTAGAAGTTGCAAGCATAGTTGGCAGGAGCACATGCATTTCTTCTATGAACTGACCGAGAGCAAGGTCAGGGTCAAGGATAAAGACGTTGAGCGACGCCTCCAGGACAACGCAAACGATATGGCTCTACGACAAGAGGGTATAGAGCGATTTCAACAGCTTGAGAGGGAATACAGAAGTGAACAGAAACAGCTACGAAAGGCCACGGCGCAGTTTGTTGCATATCTGAGACAGCATTCTGCCAATGCTTTTAATGATGCGACCGAAAAGTACTACGACCAGCTCATCAAGATTGAGACGGGCAAGATCCAGTACGGAAAGGACAACAGAATAAACGTCGATATGAACAAGAGAAAGCTCAAGGATTTAACAGATGACAGAGATAGACATCTCGAGCTAGTCAAGACAATCCAGGAAAACATGCATGCTCCTCGTGACCAGACGGAGGCGCTTCTAACTTCAGACGGGGTCGAGCAACTCATCAGGGATCTATATAATCTTAAGCACTTTGGCAAGAGTTTGAGGAGTCTGAGAGATGGCATTACTCATTACAAGGACCATGACAAGCAGTCGCATCATCGTCATCGGTCTCGGTCGCGAAGGTCTCGAAGTACTGAGACGCGTGAGGATGTAAGTGACAGATCAAGTCGAAGCAACGATGAGCGTGAGGAATCGAGACGGAACAGGGGGCTTATTCGAGGCATCCATAAATTCCTGTCCGATTTCTAGGTCTGTTGGGGATAACACGGTAAGCTGACGACTGGTGGATGAGGGACTTCATGCCATGTACCAGAGAATGCAGTTCATTTGCCTATTTATGATAATTGATCTTGAATTCATTTTATACAAAGTCTATAATATTTTTACAACGATAATTATACAGAAAGGTCTAGAAAAACCTCCAGATAGAGTCAGCTGGCTTGGTGGCCTTGAATCTGCCATACCACCTCACCAGAGGCCACAGTAACAACATGGAGAGCCCCCAAATAGCAAGGTACGCAAAAACATTGTCAATGCCTCGCTTGGAGTCCGGATCCATCTGTCCATGGTTCTCAGTTTCATGACCAAACCAACCAACCATGACTCCACCAAAGATAAAGACAAAGAACAAATGCGCCAGGTAGAAGAACAACGCCGCTCTACCAAAGTCCAATAGCATCGTGAAACGCTTAGCAACACTGGTAGGAATACCACCAAAAACAGCTAGTAAAAATAGATTGCCGGCCAAGGTGAAGGCCCAGAAAGCAACGTCGGGGGGATACTTCATTATGTAGAAGAAGGACTGTACTGAGACGAGATATTGGTTCTGGTCGGGATGCGCGATGTGCTCGGGTGTTTGGAGGCAGCCCTCGGAGAGATTTCCAAAGTGTAACACGCGCGTGAGGACAAAGATGATGAGGAAGAATATTCCAGCGGCGGTATTGCACAGCGCTGCGACACGAGAGTTCCACGTTCGGGCAACGTCGATGCGCGCGTATAAAAGACCTAGTATCGCGAACGATATCCAAGCCATGGGTGGGAATACCGATTGAACTCGATCTGTCAGGGTAGTCCAGAACCAGATTCCGAACCAGGGATTGTGAGAAATAGCAGGACTGTCTACTGAACCAGGCTGACCAGCTGAGAGAATTGTCAGAGAAGATGAATGGTCGTCGACGGTGCAGTGGCCGTGTGTAGGTGAGAGCCAGATATTCCACCAAATCGTCACTACACCCAACACCGCAAGCAGCGCATTGTGTACGTGCCAAGATATAGTCTCTCCGAACTCTGAGGATTCTCTTCCTCCGAGCAGCGCTTCACTCTCATCGGAAGATTTACTAGGAATTTGCTTCGCAAGCCAAGGCTCCGTAAAGTCCATAGCAACCCAAAGCAATCCCGCGAGCAAATAATCCACCGCCAACGAAAACAGCACAAAATTCATAAACCACACTTTTCCCACTGTGATAACCCATCCCAGCACCACATTCACAGCCGTGAGAACAAAAGCCCTAATGAAGAAGTACCTCGCAATACGACCACTCGACCAGCCCAGCTTCTTCCGCGATCGTCCCAGGTACACCACGCCTATTCCCAGCAACATTGTGAACCCCGGTGCGCAGAGGTGTGTTAGTGTTCGGATGATATAGGCGGGCGTGCGGTTCCAGCGCTTTATGGGCACGCCGTCCATTTCTGTCTCGCGGCCTGTGCCGTGGGCCCAGGTGTTTAGGGCGAGGGCCATGTGGTCCATTGCCATGAGGAGCATGAGCAGGCCGCGGAGGAGATCGGGGGCGAGGGCGCGTGTGGAGGGTTGTGTTGGCTTTGAGGGTTGGGGAGTGTCAGACGGAAAGGAGCCGTAGCTGACATCGGGACGTCGGTCGGTTGGATCATCGTGGGGGGATTGTGCTGACGGCATGGTTATGGTGTTGTCGCATTCGTCAGGACTGGAAGCTATACTAGGGGAATATATTCGCTAGCCGGCAAGAGAGGATATGAACAAAGGAAAGGACAGAGAGGAAGAAGGAGGTAGTATATCATTTCGGATATTTCGGGCGATCGGTCGACATCATAGATTCTACTCCGTATGTTGGTGGATTAATAAGGAATAAGCGGACTTTGGTAGCGGAGTTTCAGTCCATCATGGGTTAGTCGAATCGGAGGGTTTGGCGATGAACCGCGCGGCTCGTCGCTTGGTAATCGGATTCGACATTGGGGGCTATAGATGAGAATGGTTCAAGAAAGGCTGCCTTAGTTAGGTAACATGATGTAGTTACATTGAATTGAAATGTAGTCGCAGCAAAATTACAGACCAAAGCAGATTATAGATGTACATTACTGTTCACAAAGCACAGCAGTAAGAGTGTTGTCCCCTGTCAATCAACCCCACAATCCAACGCCCAAACCCCTGTCAATCATCCCACCCTTACGGAGTAAGGCTGCACAAGAGCAATGTCGTAATCAGTAGTATGAGACGACCCGGACGAAGCATTGAACAAAGTACAGTATCCCGAGCTCATGAAGAACCCTATGCCCGCGCCCCAAGCATACACAGAGAATGCTTCTATGCACTCTATGTAGCTTTCTGGTCAACTCGTCGAGCGACGTGTAGCCGTTTACATCGGTGCAGGTCAGGACGGAGGTGCTGTCGTTGTTGGAATGTCTCAGAGCTACTTTCAGAAGCCTCCTTTGTCTCTGATGAAACCCCCGACGTTGACTGCATTGAAGTTGACTCTTCTGCCTCCATGCATGTGCTTAGGGACGAAGGCGTGATGCTCGGGATCACTTCATTGATAGTGGATTCTTCAAGAACCGAAGATGAGGGTGGAAATAGTGTAGAGACTTCCCACACGGCGATGCTGGTTGTTGAACTAATTGGGTAGACTCGATCACGCCGGAAGAAGCTACTGTAGATGCTTCGGGCTCAGTTGTTTGCGAAGCTGGGCCGGTAGATTGGGTCTGAACGACATTTCTCGACGAAGCGACACTGTCGGAACTCAACACAGTGGTCTTTGTCATTGTAGAGCCTTCGACGCTCGTAGTCGTATCAACGCCAACAAGTCTCCCGTTCTGACACTATCTCTCTAATCACAAATCAGCGTCAACGTTGCAACACTTCACAAACTCGACTTACCATCATCAACTTCCAAAGTCATAGCCTCATACCCAACCGGACCACTGGCAAAAGTCACATAAACGCGCCCATCGCTCGCTTGACAGAAGCCTTCATCATGACCAGGCAAATCCACCTGCAGCGACCAGCCAGCCCAGGAGTATCGTTAGGATGATTGGGCCCTTCATGATGACTTGTACCTTTCTTTTCAGATCGCGAAGAGCAAAATGAAGCTACTGTATCATTCTGTGACGGGATTGCATCTATCTTAAGTACAACAACAATGAGGATGGCCCGTCCCTAGCCATCGTACTAAACGAGAATCGAGACTCTCATGGCCTGTAAGTGTCTGCTAGTCTACTATAAAAGACGGTATCTCAGACTTTAATCCAGCTTTTGGTCTTTCTGTAAATATAAAATAATATCGAAATTCCACGGCCACATAGGTCATTCCTCTTTCTCGTTGATTCTAGTTCCTAAGCCATCCCGTGTGGTTGTTTGTCAGTGGCTTCACGCAACGCCCTGGCGTCGGCTCGTATAAGCGGTCAGAGAAGCTGTAGTTCTGTTATTGGGTTTCGTTGGATATTGCTTCGATCCCAGACATGTTTCGGCAGATGCATTTGTTTGTACGTGTTTGTCATTGTGTCTCAGAGTAGCGTTTCCTTTGAGTTACATTGCAGCCAAGACTGTCTTGTGTTCCTACGAAAGCATTTCTATTCAGGGCGCAAAGATGCCAATTCATCTACATCGTGAAGCGATATCTCTAACTATCTGGCGTTGAGGATCAAAACGTGGGGTTGTGAGATGAACATCTCCGGGATCCGGCAATTCGGCGATATGACGTTTTGTTTTGTTTTCCAAGTGACCAATACAAATTGAGATTCTTACGTGGGGTCGGCAGAGCTGACAATCCCCGGGTTCCGGGTTTAATCCTTCACATTGAGTCACAGCCATGACAACCTACCAAGTACTATACAATAGAGTAGAAAGTAATAGAATGACTCCCAATAGCTCACGGACATGCTCGGAAAAGTCTCGTCAACTGCCGGTGCACGGCTACGTACGGCCCGGCGACCGAAATCTTGATCTCGGCTGTTATCAAACTTATCGCCAATCGCCCAACCAATTTGAGCTTAAAGTGATTGACTCTTCCCAGGCGGAGACCAAGGAAAAAGAAAGGAAGAAAAAAGAGGGCTGCTCAACAAATTACGTCGTCATCCCCAAAATTTCTTATCCTTCGGCATCTCTCCGTCCGAATTTCCAGCGAAGCTTCTAATACTGTACCGTACCGTACCCGTACTTAGGCTGCTTTTTACAGTGACAGTAGCACCGAGTGCGCCCCCCAACGTGTAACCAAGCCAAGGATTGGATCTACTGCAGGTGGTTGCTGCAGTCTTGCCCGTTTTTATCCTTGTCCGTTGAACCGTCGCTGTCACATCCATTATCGCACCATACTCACACTGCAGCTGCAACCGCGCTGTGGATGCCTCTAATGTTTTCCTCTCGGCTCCCTTCCTTTTCTCTCCGCTCCTCCTCTTCCTCCTTCACATCTTTATCTTCATCATCCCACCGTCTTGCCTCTCGCTCCGTACTCACCAGCTCCCAAACCCGTTTCTCTTCATCCACACAAGACCCGAAACCCGCTCCAAAACCAGAGTGGCGCACAATGGCCGAAAAGGACATCACAAAGTATCTCCAGCAGAGCCACGACCGGCTCTTCCACAACAACCGCGCCTGGGCCGAGAACAAGGCAAAGGTCAACCCTGACTTCTTCAAGAACCTCGCCGCCGGCCAAGCACCCGAGTACCTCTGGATCGGATGCGCCGACTCCCGCATCCCCGCCGAGCAGATCTGCGGCCTTGAGCCCGGCGAGGCATTTATCCACCGCAACATTGCCAACCTCGTGTGCAACACGGACCTCAACGCTATGGGCGTGATCAACTACGCCGTCAAGCACCTCGGCGTCAAGCACATCATCGTCTGTGGTCACTACGGCTGCGGAGGTGTCAAGGCGGCTATGACCCCCCAGGACCTCGGCCTGCTGAACCCGTGGCTTCGCAACATCCGCGACGTGTACCGCCTTCACGAGAAGGAGCTCGATGCGATCGAGGACGAGAGCGCTCGCTACGACCGCTTGGTCGAGCTGAATGTCGTCGAGCAGTGTCGCAACGTCATCAAGTCTGCTGATGTCCAGCAGTCGTGGCACGAGAACCAGTATCCCATTGTCCACGGATGGGTGTTTGGTTTCAAGGACGGACTTCTCAAGGATCTTAAGATTGACTTTGAGGCTGTGTTGGCCGACATCCAAAAGATTTACAACCTTGTTGACAAGAAATAATGGAAGAGCATGGCGTTGATAGAAGAAATTTAAATTAGGTTACTGATTCAAATGCTGTGTCTGCGACTGATGATCCAGGGACAAGACTCCTTGATGACAAGAGGTTCAATCAAGGGGCAACGTCCACCTTTTAAACATATCAGTAGCGTTCCGTAAGTGCCTGATATGCAGGGATATTGCTCTCTTCAGCCCTACAAGTAACCGTAACAGGGACCACGGCTTGGCTCGACCGCACCTCGATGACGGTCTGGGCCTTCAAGGTGTCGAGAGACGAAGGAGCAACACAACGACGACGTATTATCGCACAATTGGAAGTCCAATACCTCCACTGAAATTCCAGTGCCTCCGAAATAGTTAAAGATTTTTCAATCAATTTTTAAATACTCTTGCGAATGGTAGAAATGCAGAAAACTATCAGAAAGATCGCTCTCACGTGACCACCCTTTCAGGGCGCATCTCCACACATCGTACGATTTCCACATGGGCCTGGTCCATGATGGAGGGATCGCTTGCAGGCCTCGGATCCAGAGACGGCAGTTTTTTCTCAAGTGCCGGGTTGGAGATTGGCGAATATGGGGGAGTTGGCCGGAAAAAGAAGGTTGTTTCTGTTTTTGCTGCTAATGTAAATGGCTGATGATGAATTAGGAAATGTCTCTCTTGGTGAAGTATTGGTGGAGGGAGTTTGGTGTGTGTGCAGCTTAGCCGTGCGTATATAGTCTCACTTTGTTTTATTATGATTTGGTAATGATGATAGGAATTTAGCTGCAACTCGCTTGATTGATTCTAACTTCAACATGGAACATTTCTCCGGTTTGCTTTGCTTCGCGTGTTGTGCGCTCACAATCCGGAGACCTTGATGGACAGAGGGCGATTGACAAACCATAGAACGGGCATACGCCTTGATTGTGCTTGCTCGGGTATTTGACATATGAGTCTTGTCGCAAACAAAGACCTTGACGTTTATGTGAAAAATAGACGAGGAGATCTACGGTTTTGTTTTAGGCTGGCACGTTCGTTAATGCTGTAATTCGGTGTTCGTTTCTCTGTCAGCAGCTTGCATCGATTATGGATGTGTCTCGTGCCACGACAACGCGATAGACTTGACAGCCCTTCTCAAGTCCGAGCCAAAAACAGAAGCACAAAATCATAGCATGATTATTTTAGACTTAATTGTTTCTCAAAATTATGTGTTCCCATGCAATGGTGCAAGCGACAAACACCTATCCTCACTGCCCAAGTGGGTGCCAAGATTACCCTACAGTCATACATCTCAGAACCATTCTGCTCTTTCCCCTTCATCCCGTTTCGGCCGCCAACTCCCAGGCTCTGACTTGAATCAACCGTTAATCAAAATCGTATCACGCAAGTCACCCAATTCAAACCTCAAAACAACACCTTACCAATTCTTCCACTTCCACTGCCTGTACTTGATCCCTGGTTGCTCGGTCCCTTCCAGCAATAAGCATCACGTGAGTGACTCGGTCTGGTGGTCTAGTGGTATGATTCTCGCTTAGGGAAAACCCTACAGCTTAGCTTGCGAGAGGTCCCGGGTTCAATCCCCGGCCAGACCCTTTCTTCTGCTGATGGAGTCTCTGAGATGCTATCAATTAAAGCGTTTCTTTTTGCTGTTGGGCTGTCGGTGGTGATGTGAGGCCATTGAGTTTGGGTCTCACCGAACCTTGTGTGAGCCCCCTTGAGTCACTTTCAATACCCCTCTTTTGTTTCATATGAGCTCACAATCATGCTTATAGAGTTTCCTGGATTTAGCTCAGATTTCTGCCTTTTCTCAATCAGTCTTGTTCCGGTGACACCGACAATTGGTTGATAGATGTGTCGCATAGTAATTGGTGATGATGTTGCGCTTGCATGCAGACACTTTTCGTGGTGGAGACTTGTCGGCGCTAGTCTATTTAAGTCACGTCCACTGTCGCGTTTTGCTCATGCGAAAGAGGCCCCGCAGCGCATCTCATGGGACGCAAGAAAAGACCAAACCTAAATTTAGGATGCCAAAATAAACTCGGTAAAAGGTATCCTGAGCTCAGGCCAATTAAGCCTAATTTATGAAGTTTACCTACACTAAATTCACCTAAGCTTGTGCGAGTTTACCTAAGTATTTCTGTCACTTAGGATCGAGGTCCGGAATTTTCTTGCACCCCCAGCCGGTCCTGGTCTCAGTGAGTGCGCCTTTCAACGGCTCCAGCTGCAAACAAGAAAAAGTAAACAACCCGGTGTAGCCCATCCCATCCAGACATAACTTAACCAATACAAACTCGACGTCAGACAAGGCTCCAAACCGCGTTTCCCTCCGTTTCTGCTTCTTTTTTCGCTCGAATAATCGGTCCAAGTCGCCTTTTTAACCAATTTGTTTGTGTCTCCTGTATCTTGCCGTGTTTCCGTCACCATGAACGCGATTTTCAACTTTCTGTCATCACCGCTCAAGCAGCCCGCAGAGAGACCTCCACCCTCCAGCATGCCACTTACCGCCTCCTCGCGGCCGAGTTTGTCGCCTAGAGAGCAACGTCTTGCCAAACGCGCTGCGGATAGGTTCTCGGAGCCGGCAGGTCGCAGTCCCGTAAGTTTCATCCAGAAGGTGCCCAGCTTTTCTTTGTTTGCGCTGCGCATCGTTGCGCAGGTGCCTTGATGAGCTGGCACTTCCGCCCAAAACTGTTATTAGGCATCGAACTGACGACTTTTCCAGAGGTCGCGTCTGAGTAACGTTTCTCTTGCATCCACGGACGATAACACCGCCGAGATCTCTGTTGTTAGTCGACGGAGAGAGACCATCGCCATGGCACCGCCGCTGAGTGTTAAGAAGCGCATCAGCACATCGACGCGCTCGTCGCCGATACACAAGCCAAAGTCTAACGGATCTGTTTCTCGCGTCACATCGTCGCCCGCCGTTCGATCCTCCCCTAGAAGGCGAGAATCGGCTGAGCTTGGAGAATCGTCGCCGGCCTTGATCGCCGCGTCACCTGCTTTCCCTAAGAGAGTTTCTCGTGTCGCAACATCATCGCCCGCCGTCCGATCCTCTCCTAGAGCGCGAGAATCGGCCGGAGGACCGCCGGCCTTCACCTCGTCACCAGCCTCGATCCAGAGGGGCATTAATGGAGTTTCTCGAAGCAGCGAGGCGGCTGAGAGTCCTAGAAGATCCACGAGGGGCCTACGCGTGACAGAGCCGGAACCTAAAGCAAATACACCCAAAGCACAGAAAGAGAAGAAGAAGTCTGAAGAACAGCCCGAAGAAGCGCACTTTGAAGAGGAAGAGGAGGCGCAGGTTGAAGACGATAAGAGGTACGAATTCGTAAGAATTACGGATCATCGCTGGGCCGAGGGCGAGGACGAGATCGAGCTTCTCATGCAGTGGAAAGATGGCGAGACCTCCTGGATCTCCGAGGAACTTCTTCATACCGACAACAGACAGGCCCTGTTTGCATATTGGCGCTCGCAACCAAACGGGCGCCCTAAGAATCCCAACGACGACGACGAGATCTACCATGTTTTCGCGATTAGAAAGCACCGCGTGCGAAATGGTACTCCGCAGGTCTTCGTCGAATGGCTAGGCTACGATGCGTCCGAGAACACTTGGGAGGATCAGGACTATATCGAGGGGGTTGCCCCCAAGCTCGTGGACGCCTATTTTGACCAGGTCAAGGGCAAGGGCAAGATTCAGGTCAAGCCTAAGAGTCAGGCGAAAAGCAGCACGAAGAGCAAAGCGAAGCCCAAGGCTCCCGCAAGAACCAAGGCGCCCGCGCCCGCAAAAAGCAAGGCTCAGGCAAAGACTTCGGCTCGCGGCGTGACTAGAAGCAGCGCAAGGGTCTCGAAGCGATAGAATTACAATAGTACACGATTGGAAACTGGTTGCGGAAGTGTTTTTGGCCCGTGATGATGGAAATGAACATTGTTTGGACTGTAATTAATATTGGAGTGAAAACAATACCTAAGCAAACTGCACTTGTTACATGTGTTTTCTTGAATGTGAAGTTGCCAGTTTCGTACCTTGACCCTAAGCGACGACAATGTTTAGGTAATTTTTATAAGATTTAGTACACTCTTTACTGTGTTTATTTGGCATCCTCTTCTAAAATCTTGAGGCTTGATTCGCACGGCGTGCCTTGCGAATGCATGATGGTGATGATCAGGTTTTCTTACCATCCCTCAGGGAGCGAGAAAACTTAAGCCTAAGAAATAAAAACATTGAGGTAAGTTAGTATAGATTTATAGAGCCTTTAAATTCTATCCTAAGTTGTGAAAAGATTTAATTTAGTATAGATCTGGAGAGCCTTTAGATTAATTATTTTGTTATTTAGGTAAACGTCCTCAGTTTGCTGACCATCCGATCTATGTATGACTGACTGACTGGATCCTGATGGGGCTGACTGTATCCGACACGCTCACCTCAATCATTACCTTCATCTCTTCATCCTCACTCAACCCAAACTTCAGTAAACACAATCAAAATGACATCTCCGAATCTCTCCTCCCGTATCCCTACGCTCATCATCCTCTCCATCCTCACAGTCTTCGGCTTCGACGCGTTGATTCTGCAACTCGACCGCAACGGCTACACCTCGATGCTAAAATCCATAACCCACGACCCCGTCCCACGCTTCCTCCCGGATACTAACCGCTTACTTCTCAAACAATACACCGGAATAGGACCAGTTGATGACTTTTTCGCTTTTTCGAATGTCATCTGGGCGAATGTAACCGATGGCTCGAGTCCGGAACTTTCGCTGTTCACGTTTTGTTTCGGGGCGCAGTTGATTGCGTTTTTCGTGGTGTTTTTGATCGAAGCGCAGAGGGTGCTTGCTTGGAGTCCGCTTGTGCTGAAGTAAGTTTGTGCCTTGAGGTCGGAGGTTTGTGCTGACGATGGATGTAGTGGTGTATTCTGGGGATTTGCGGTGCAGAGTCTTGGGTTTGGATTCGTTGCGCCGCTTTACTTTGTCATTCACTTGATCTTCACAGCTGGATCGTCAAGGTCTGAGAGCGTCCATATTCGCGACTACTTGTGTCTTCACACGGTCGTCCCGTCTTTTCTTCTCGGATATGTCGTGCCGTGTATTTTCATGGCTTATCCATTCTCGAACTTCAATGTTCGACAGTGGTCTAATGCAGTCTGGGCTATTGCTCCAGTCTACATCTTTACACTTCAAGCGGTGTTTACTGTTGTTCTCAAGAGGCTGAGTGTTGGGCAGGATGCGCACAAGCCAAAGGTCGTTCTCGACAAGACTGCTTTGTCGCATACGTACAGCTTCGCGTGGAATATCGCAGTCATAGGCCAGATGACAACCTACGCCGTCTTTATCACAGCGAACCTCCTTCCAGGTCTCTTCCCAGACGGTTTAGCGGCCTCATTGAGCATGAACAGGGTCTTCATTCCCGACGCGGCGCCTCATTCATACAAGCCCATGTCCAGCGCCGCAGCGGCCATTCACAACTTTTTGATCTACGATTTTGCGACGGGATCTGTGGCGGCGCTTATGTGGGCGCTGCAGCAACTCTTGGAGGTCAAGCCTGAGTTGAGAGTTGGAGAGGAGAGGACTAATCTTATGAGGGGGATTGTCACGAGTGTTTTGCTGTCGGGCCCGGGAGGGGCGGTTGTTGCGTTGATGCAGCATCGTGATGAGTCTGTTCTCAGCTCCGAGGGCAAGGCTGAGAAGATTCAGTGAACGAAATAGTGCTGGGATGGGCTTTGTGTAAAAGTTAAAGGCAAGATTGTGATAGGATTGCTTTCTGTTTATCTAAGCCTTCTCCTCTCTGTTCTCACCAAGAGGGACATCTAAGCCATGGCGTCCCTTGTATCCTGATACCTCAGCTGAGTTCCATCCGCCTTTCTGTAGCAGAGACTCATCCTTGAGACGGTAAACTTCAACCTTGAGGGGTCGACAACACTTGATCATCTCCTCCTCACTATCCTCTCCAAAGCCCCAAAGTGACAAATCACCACCAGGGCAAGTACCTACAATAATCAGCAAATCTCCAAACACACACGAAACTTGTACTTACTCAAAGCCATAAGCAGATCCTGCTCCGCCAGAAACTCAATATAATCACCCTTCTCCGCCGGACAAGGATTCATGAAATATCTTCCCTGCTCATCCAGCCCCGTGACCTGAAAGATATTAATAACATCATGAACATCACCCTCGTTCAAGCCATATGGCAACACCGAGCGGGTAAGGTTAGAGTGGCATTGGAAGTTATACTGTCCTCCGCTGAGAACAGTGTTGATGTACGGATCACATCGCGTGCCGAGAAGATCGTGCACTCGACCTCCGTGCTCATCTGTGCCATACCAATCTAGGGTGTCGGTGATTATGGTGGCCAGGGGTCGCATGTAGGGAAGATTGGACCAGAGACGGTCGTACGTTGAGACGTGTGAGGCGTGGAGTTGTTTGGTGCGGGATGCCCAGAAGCGTTCACGCGGGTTATGAGCGTTCCAGATATTCAAGTCACCTGTCCGTGTAAGTGAAGTTCACCCTATTGTCTTCTCGTCTCACTCTTCGCCCCTCACCCAACTACTGAAGATAGCCTTACCAACCTGCGGCCCCTCAGGCGTGCTGATCTTGACAATACAACCCGCCGGGGCTTTCCATGCTTTTCCAGATCGAATTGGTAGAGTGAATTCTTCAATGAGTTCACGCGGTGCTTCCCGGATGGCAGTGTACAAGCTTTTGTCGACGGTGAGGACTGAGCCTGGGGAGGGAAGATAAGCCGGGACGGGCTTCTTGATGGGCTTTCTGTTTGCCAGACGCTCAGCTCCGTTGGAAGACATGATGGCTTTGAGATATTTTGTTTGCGCAGGAAGAGAAATTTGGCGATGCGAGGAGGAGAGTGTTAAGTAATAACTATCTCTTGGCTGTTCTAAGTGGAGACTTGGCCGTGTCTTGTATCTAATGTGGTGAATTGAATGGGGTTCTAAGAGCGGTGCCTGATAGGAGGATTGGAGTCTGAGGGCATTCAGATTTACAACTCATAGGGCGTGCATGACATTTACTCAATGATCATTAATAATCTGCGCTTTTACCTAAGGTCGACTTTGGACTGCATCAGGAATTACAGGTTGCTCGTGGATGATGCGATCTCGGAGGTGGATCGGCATCGTAAAGACTTGCCGATATTGATCCTCCACGGCAAATAAAGACTTGCCGGATGCGTAAATGCCCCAGAAGATGACCCCATACTCTGTTAGTTCTCTATTGATCTACGGACCTAGGTAATCTTTACGAGTCTTTTGATAGAGAGAGTGCTGTATGTAGGTCTGGCTCTGTCGCAGGAGCAGCCGCTGGGCTTGCCCCTCATTACCCCTCCACCAAGCTCAAGACCCCGCTAGAACCTTATCTTTTGTATTTACTTTCAGGTTCCAATCAATACACGAGCATCACGGCAATCGCGACGACGCGGCATCGAATACTGCCCAGTGGACGCCAAGAATGGTAGTAGAATGGAGATCCGAAATACAGCATCTGTCAACCACGAGCCGTCACCCCCCAGAATGGTCGCGCCAGGCGAACGCGTCGCGAACGACCATATCGACCAGCGAAGCCCTTTGCGATGCGCCCGAAGGCGACAACAATCATGGATGTGAATACAATGATTCAATCATGGTCACTATGCATTCGACTCGTCGAACCCCATGAAAGATGGGCATAGGGAGCTTCCACGCGACGCCGATTTAGACCTCCACCCTTATGCCAACTTCGAGAACGTAAACGATCAAAGACGCTGCAAGTCAGGACGTACGCTGTAGCACTAGCACAACTGAGAACGGGACCTTAAATACTGCCGAAAATGTTCCAGAGCGCATAAAACCTTTCGGAAGCTCGTATCTACGACACTGCTTCGTGAGTGCGTGTCTTCGCTGTGAGGACCAGTGCAACAGAATTCTCCCACCAGGCGTTATCGGCGACAAGACTCCCTTCGAAATTCTCGTGAGGCTTTCGCTCGAGCGAGGCGAACTCGACCGATTCGGGCTGCGAAAGCTTGGAGAATATTGGTACGAGAGATGCATAGGTTTTAATGATTTCGGTAGGTGCCCAGGAACAACCGTTGTGTCGGGATGGCAGCCGTGTCGCAATTCCCATGGCAATGTTGATCAAGTAGTGTATGCTCTCTGCCGATGAACAAATGTAGCGACTGGGTAAGACTACAACATATCAGCGCCGAGATGACATCAGACAACCTGATCATAAGATTGTGGGAAGGAGTGTTCCTAACGGTCGGTATTTGCCCATACGGCGCAATGCTTACTCTCCTTGTTTCTCAGCCTGCCTACTAAGCTTTTAACGTACAGCATCTCGCCCTCGTAACATGAGACCGGTCTTTGTAGGGCTTTGGATGAAGGCAAAGCGGGTCGCATACGAGATGAACCTTGGTCCATTCGCGAGAAGTACTCTGTAGATGGCTTTAAATCAATCAATCAAGACACTATTGTTTGACGGCCCAATACCCTTGACGAATGGCCGCCATGTGGCTTTATAGTGTGTCAGGTTTATTTAAACAGGAATTGTCACATACTAGTATCCATTGGCCGGGAATGTCCCAGTTGCAGTGATACTGTAAGTCGTCGCAATCGATGTTGGCGTTGACTCAAATAATCGGCGACAAACTTACCTCCTCCCAATCAATTGAACCAGCCAATACTAAGAACTCGTACGACAATAATCTACGGCCCTAGATAAGGACAATTGCACAATGCAATTTATCGAATTTCTTCATGTTCAGCTCTATTTCCACTATCGCCCACAGACTGAAACACCACCAATCACCGTCCCATCTTCTCAAGGGAGACATCATCCTTCGACCCTTGCACCACGCCTCCAGGAATGCTTCCAAGACAGGGGCTCATTCCAGAAAAACTGAATATCATAAGAATTGCATGTCAACCTACAGCTCCCTTGCGTAGGGCACGAGTAGCCTTATAGACCCCAAGGGTCCTCTCCGATCTGCGCTTTGTTTAAGCAAATCATAATCATGGTTGTGATATCAGGCTCCCCTTGGGCCAAGAGACTGGTCTTTCTGGTTATTTCTATCAATATTCTGCTCTGGTGGTATGTTTACTCAGTGCCGGGAGTTACAGACGATGTCCAGCTTGCGACGACGAAATTGAAGACGAACGATGCGAAAGCGATACCGGTAGATAAGAAAGTGGAAGCGAAAGGTGGGAAGAGCGCTAAGGGTGCGAAGGCGGCGAAGGATGAGAAAACTGGCGAGTCTGTTGATAAGAAGGGAATTAGGACGTTCCGTTCTTGGAGTAACTTTGACATCGTCAGGCCGAAGAACGATCACACTTATGTGTATCGTCGGTTCAAGAGCTCACCGCACAAACCACCACATATCGAATGGAACCCCAACGGAAAGGAACTTGCAAAGGGATATGTCTTCATCACACCGCAGTCCAGCGGCGCCGAGAGAGGTCTTGTGCAAGCTGCATCGTTCATCATGAAGCAGAACGCAGAGATGATATACGCCCATGACGAAGACCCTTACGACTCTGCGGGTTTTCGCGTACAGACCGTTCACAACGAGCAGTTCCTCACACTCTGGCGAGGCCATAGAAAAATGAGCCATGGATTCGGAGAAGTCATCGTCATGAACAGCGAGTACGAGAAGACGGTTATTCACCTCGATGTTATCATCACCAACATGTATGGTCAAAAGTTCCTCAGCGGGCTGGACTTTCACGAGCAGGAATTGACCACGCGAGGAACTATTCTCGTCACGGCTTACAACACGACTATGTACAACCTTACGCAAATGGGAGGGTCAGAGCACGGCTTCGTGACTGACTCTCTATTCTTTGAGATCGATATCGAAACGCAGGAGATTCTTTTCAGCTGGAGCGCCCTCGACCATTTCTGGCCTGAAGATTCCATGCTTCCGCTTATTTCATCCTCTGGCTACGGCGGACCCAAGAATCCATATGACTTCTTCCACCTAAGCTCAATACAAGCCGTCAACCACGATTCATTCCTTATCAGCAGTCGGAACTTCTGGTCTGTGTATCTGATCTCACGCTCAAATGGTAGGATCCTTTGGGAGTTGAGAGGGAATACCAAGGGAGGAGATTTTGGCGCATTGCCGCACCATGGACGATTCAGGTGGCAGAACCATGTTCGTGCGCATAATGTCACGTCGAGAGAGATGATACTCAGTATGTTTGACAATCATAACAGTCCAGAGGATAATGGAAAGACGTATTCGCGCGGTTTACTGCTGAAGTTGAAGCTGCCGCCGAACCCAGAGGAGAAGCCCGAGATTTTGCGTGTCCTCTCGCCAGATCGTGCAAAGATCTCGCCTGAGTATGGAAGCTACCAACTTGGGTTGAGTAATGGCAACCAGTTCGTGAGCTGGGGCGCAGGTGGTGTCGTCCACGAATACGGCCCTGACGATGGCCACGATCTCCGTTGGCAAGCCCGTTTTGGCTACGACGAGTCCATCACGAGCTATCGCGCCTTCAAAGACGTCTGGACAGGCACACCCTCCAAATGGACTCCCGCTCTCGTCGTCGAAAAGCGTGAAGACACCGTGATGGGCTTCGTGAGCTGGAACGGCGCAACGGACATAGACTCTTACAACATTTACCTCGCGGAACCAGGCACAGAGCTCAAATCATTGGGTAAAGCTAAGGTTTTGGGCTTCGAGACGGGATTCGATCTTGGTGTTAAGA